GAGGACACTAAGAGATACTTACATAGATCTAATCTACATGGGAAATAGAAAGTAGAAAAAGACAAGATCTCCTGAGTAAACTGGGAGCATGGGGACCTTGGGGGAGGGTTGAAGGGGGAAGGGGAAGGGGAAAGGCAGGTAGGGGAGCGGAGAAAAATGCAGAGCTCAATAAATATCAATAAAATAAAATTTAAAAAAAAAAAGAATGGCTAGGCAAGAAATTTTAGTAGGCTTATCAGTCCCGCCCCTAACTAGTGACAGGTAAGCCAAATAAGTAAATAATAAAAGTAAAAAATCTTAATATACTCTGGGGTATACAAACTTTGATATTAGAATCTACAGAATAAGCATACTATTGAAAAATAAGACACTAGGGGACATGAACTGAAGAAAAAGTTGAATGAGAAGCGTAAAGGCTGGAGACTTAGTAAATGAAAGGGCGCGAGATCTTGCCGCCTCTGACTCAGGATTCTCGTGCATTTCTGAGGAAGTAGAAGCAACTGTGGTAGAAAAAAAAAAATCTTCCAAAGAATTCTACCTAATTGCAAGACAAACAAACGGGTCTGCCAAACCACCGAGAGCCTTTTTCTTCTCACCTTCCTGCTTATTACCTAAACAAATAGCCACCTTTATGTGCTCCCTCTGTAAAAGATGAACTTCCACATTCAGGCTGAGTGAGATAATCTGTTGTCTCAAGTACTCCTGAAGGGAAATGACTGTAATTAAACCCTACCTGCTAGTCACAAGCCTAGCCCAAATCAATGTGTTTCGGCTACTACGTCCTTCAAGAGCACATTCCACTGCGTTCCTGCTGCTGTGTTCCACACTGGTACCTGTCTTAAGACGTGTGCTTCTTTATCTGCCTGTCTTTAAAGAGAGATAGGTGCCTATTCAAAATGAGAATGCTCATTCTGGGTTTTATCTCAAAGATCCTATCCCCAAATAAGAAAACAAAATGCTATTTTTGTCTTGAAGTACCCCACTGGAAAAAACTCCAATCATTTAGAAAATGTAATGCTGCTAAGAATTTAAGGCCCTCAAATAGGAATTTAAATTGCTGAAACCAAAGCAGCTACTTCCTATCCAGATACTAGTACTCAATAAAATGTACCCTCAGTCAACAGCCTCCTGTGATCCTTACACACACACACACACACACACACACACACACACACACACACAGGCTTGCGCGCGCGCCCCTTCTGACAACTAACATCTTTTCTGCAACTGTGCAGGCAGGGCCCTCAAACATACTTACCAGCAACACCAATTCCCCTCTTCAAACTAGGGTTGGAAATTTTAGGTCAAGAATGTGATTGTGACAGTCTCTGACTGTGCCACAGAGGTTCATAAGGAGGGAGTGGGCTCTGCCTGCATGGGGCGCTACTGAAAGTAAAGGGTAGTCATACTGAGGCGAGATAAACCAGGAAAAAAAATCTCATTCCAAGAACAATGTATCGAAGGAAACAAAACATTTGGAAGTGGAGTTTGTAGGACTGTCCTACAATACAACAAGTTTTGTAGAGAAGCTTTGTTTTTAAATTTTCATAAGATCTAGCAGTAAGTTAAGGTGAAGGAAAACCCAATCCAGGCCAGCATAGTCCAAAACGGACAACTAGCTCTTCAGGGGACAGAGACAGGGAGATCTCTGTGAGTCGGGAGCCAGCCAGGGGTACAAAAAGAAACCCTGCCTCAAAAAACAAAGGGAGGGAGGAAGGGGAAAGGAAAGAGACAGGTGTGAAGACTGAAGATGAATTTCTCAGGCTAGCTCCCTGTTTGGGTCTTTTTTTAATAATATTACTCTTGGGAGTTGGCTCACAAAGAAGCAAGTTTCATCTTGGCATCCTCATAATGTCATTACAGTTTGTTCTCATCCATTCCCCTCCGCCTTACTCACTCCTGAAAGATATGCCATGGGACAGGAAATTGGGAGAGGACAGGGAAACAGGAGGTGAGTCTGGGAGGGGCTAGAGGGCGAACTGGGGCTGAGTATATTCAAAACACTGAAAGAAATTCTCGAAAATTAAAGACAGTACAATGTCCCACATATTTCTCCCATATGTGAAATCTAAGTTAATACATCTATGTACATATATAGACATATTACACATCTGTGACACGAAAGTTGAAGGAAACTATGGGAGGGAGACCATGGACAGGAGTCAGAAGATAAAATGAAAAAAACGTACAACGATAAGCATGCATGAACTGTCATGATGAAACCCATTGCTTTATATACTAATTTTAAGAATTATTTTTAAAAATCTGCTTGACATCTGAAAATGAGCTTGGCATGAACTTCAGTTCCAACTACTACGTCGTGAGCAAGCTTTCAAACAGCTTCTTCGGGACACCAGAGTTTCTATAAGAAATCAGGGTTAGTCTACATGTTGTACTCAGTATATTACATTTAAAAAAATGCTGGGCGGTGGTGGCGGTGCAACGCCTTCAATCCCAGCATTTGGGAGGCAGAGGCAGGAGGATCTCTGTTTGAGGCCAGCCTAATCTACAGAGTGAGTTCCAGGACAGCCAGAGCTACACAGAGAAACCCTGTCACAGAGCTGTTACACAGAGAATCCCTGTCTCAGGGGAAAAGAAAGACATAAAAAAGAAACTGAGAAGCTTCATACACATCTGATTTCCTTATATTTGTTGGCCCCAAGTTTTTTGTTGGTTTTTTTTTCTTAATTATTTGAATCCACTGTTTAAATCCTCATGGGCACAATGTTGCCAAAAACCAGTTAGAAATCCTACCAAACAAGCTTAGCTCCCAATATAACTAGTGTGTGGATGTTTCGGTTGGTTCATGTTTTAAACATCCTGTATTCCAAAAACTCAGCTGATTTGGGAGATCATTGACTTCAGGAAACTTGAGTTGACTCACTGCGCTCAGTGCCAGCACCTCAAATCTTGGCTCCAGCTCTCTGGCCTCTCCCTCCTAGAATCCATCCTCCATTGTGTTCTCAATGTTTTAGCTGAAATCTGACTGCCACGTGCCTTAAAATCCGTCACTTCCCAGACCAGTGTGCAGGGTGGGTGTGACTCCTTAGCTTGGCGTCTGCCTCTCTCCACTTTCCCTTCCCTAGCTCACTTTCACACACTCACACTTCCCTTGTCTCCTCTCAGGGTATTCTCTTTCACATCCACTTACCGTTGGGGAAAGAAAATAAATCCTACATTTATACTGGATCCCTCCCCTCTAACTTGACATTTGCTCACCAGTTTAGCTCAGTTCAAAAATCACTTTCTAAAAAGAAAAAAAGAAAGAAAGAAAAAAATTCAACATTTCTCATATACCTATATATATATTTGGTCCTCCAAAAGCATCAGAGATGATGTTTACTCGGAGTCTGATAAATGTTGTATAAGTGAGCAGCCGGTCCACTGCAGCCACAATTGAAGAACATAAGGATATTCCATTACATTACGTTACATGTGTAATAATAAACATACACACGAACTGAAAATATAGTCTGATTTATACTGACAAACACACGAAGTTAGAGATTACTAAGCATTCAGACCCTTCCCTATCGATAGTGTGAATCATCAGAACCGATCTGGCCCAGCGTCCGAGTCAGATATTTTCAGTATTTTAAACTCAGCAGAAAGCAAACTTAATTTAAAAGAGAAAGCCAAAGAGAAGAAACAATGTAATTAGTTTAATGAAGGTCAGGGCTCCTGCACTCCAATCTTCACTCATCACCTTTGAAGGCAAGAATTTGGAAAAGCCTTCCGTTGTCCAGCGCATTCCCCGCGCTAGTAGAAATAACTCAGCCATGCAAATAATAATCTAATACAAAAGATAAAATAAATAACTTATTTCCAGAAAGAAACTAGTGTGTTGATGGTGTGTTTCTACCCCCATTTCATCATCTCCAGTATAAATATCTTACATATTTACGGGAAGTTTCACAATTCAAACGTATTGTTCGACAGGCATTTCTTTCCGATAATCGCCTGGGTTTAACAGAGCAGTGATTCTTTGTCCAGATTTAGAAAGACTAACAACGGGCTCTAGAAATGTAGCTTTTCGTTTATCCTTTTTTATAAAAAGTATTCTTACTCAACAAAAAACGGCCCAAGGAAAACCCGCCTTCTCTCCATCTCGGCGGACCTACTACTAAGACCACCACCGTCAAATCTCAAATTCTGATAGGAGTGAAGCTAAAGTTCCAATTCCCAGCCCAGGGCCAGTGACAGCCACTCCACCCGCAAGCGCTAGCCGTAGCCCGGGGAGCGGCGAGCGCACGGCCACGGGGCAGCCGGCCGCCGGGCTCCGGGTCAGCACTGCCAGGGTCGCCGGGAGCCTGAGGTCGGTCCACCCACCTCGCAGCCCGCACCACCGGGCCACTCGGGAGCGCCCAGCCCGGGACGCGCTTGCTCCCGAAACACCGTCCCCCGCGACACCCACCTGGCCGCCCGGCATCGAGGACCGGGCCCAGCAGGCCACACGCCAGCAGCCACCTTAGTCGCAGAGAGGCAGGGGGCGAGAGCGCACGCGGCCCCATAGCGAGGGCTTCTGCAGGTTCAGCTCAACGCGCGGCCACCGCCTCCGCCCCTTCGGTCATCCTTGCAACCTCGCGGGGGCCCCCAGGGGCTGGCGGGGCGCGCGCCCACGGCGAGCACGCGCGCGGCACTGACGCAGCCCCCCCCCCCCTCCCGCCCGCTCCGGCACTCCTCCCTCCCCTCTCAACCACGCTTGCTCCGGACGTAAGGAAAATACAGTCTGCGGTGAGACGGTGGCCTGCTCCACGCGGGCGGCTCCCGATCGTGCCTGTCTGTCCCGCCCCTCCGCCCGCGCAGCCGGTCCCGGAGAGCGTAGGGGGAGGCTGGAGGGCGGGGTTAGGAGGAGCCCCGCCCCCGTACAGGGAAGAGCGGAGCGTCGGCTAGAAGGCGGGGCGAAGTTTCACGCCTCCCCCCCCCCCCCCCTCCTCTGGAGGTCTCTGATTGGCCGCAGCGGCGGGGCGGGACGCCGAGCTGCGCACCGGTTGGCTGTGTGTCGGCGAACTCCGCGCCGACGCAGAGGCCTGACAGCGCGGGTCTTGGGTCGGTCGTGGCGGCCTGGCTTTGTTTTTAGGCCAGGTCTCTAGGACCGGCCCGGGAAGATGGTGCTGGGGGGTTGCCCTGTGAGTTACCTACTGCTGTGCGGCCAGGCGGCCTTGCTGTTGGGGAACCTGCTGCTGCTGCACTGTGTCTCTCGGAGCCACTCGTTTAATGCCACGGCCGAAGTGGAGCTCACACCCTCAGGTTCCGCTCACCCGGAGGGTCCCGCAGCCCCGAGCTGGGAATACAGCGACCCCCAGTCTCCGGTCATCCTTTGCTCTTACCTGTAAGCTTACGGGGTCATACGGGCATTCCTAGCGGGGATCGGGCCCGGCTGGGTGGGAAGGCTGCTTCCACCTGGGGGAGGTGATTCCGGGGTACCCTGCCTCTCGACTCCCCTGCCGCGAAAAGCCTGGGAAAGATTGGTGTAGGCTTCCACTTCCTTCACCCTTTCTCCTGCCTTGGTTACAAGATGAGTTCAAGGCCAGCAAGCCTGGATAATTTGGCTCAAAATTTAAAAAAGAAATGTAAAGGGCTGGAGATGTAGCGCTATGGTAAATAGCATGTCTAGCGTGTGTAAGCCCCAGTGCAGGAAGGGGGCAGTGCAGAAGGAAGGAAAATGATTAGGATTACGTGCGTTCGCATAGCAGTTGGTAAAGGGGGCTGACGATGGTCTTAATGATTTGCAGACCCGACGAGTTTGTAGATTGTGATGCCCCAGTGGATCACGTTGGAAATGCAACTGCGTCCCAAGAGCTTGGTTATGGTTGTCTCAAGGTGAGGTTTTTGTTTGTTGTACGTTCGCTCTTCGTGGGAAGCATGGCTGAGTGCTATTACAGAAGACCATCAGGGCATACAAAGAGACTTTTTTTTTTTATTTTTAAGTACTCCATCCGTATAATTATTGCTAGAGATGTCCAGCGTGACCAAGGTTTAGTGGCTGAAATGCACATTTGCTTTTGTCGGGAACAATGACTGTGCCCAATCCGCCCAGATGCAAAACCCAACCTGTATTGGTGCCTTTCGCCACTGAAATGAACAAATTGAAGCTAAAATGTCACCCGACCTTTCAAAGCATGCCTTCCCTTTAAAAGAACAAGGGAAAGGGGCCGTGCACCTTGGAACCGTGATGCCGAACTGGGTTTTCTTGGTTACACGTGCACTTGGAACAAGTTGCTCGTGCAGGTGATGACAGGCGGTTAGCCCCGCCCTTAGGAAGTGGCTGGGGTCTGACAGTAATGTTTTTGTGTGAGGATAAAGCATTCCAGAGAAGACTTTGGTAGCAGTGGCCTCTCAGCCTGGAGAGAAGACAGTGAAAAATGAATGAATGAAATTTATGCCCTGGCCATGCTGAAGTACGCATGGGCAGCCCGTATATAGCGGTTCTGTTGAACTTGCCCGTAAAAAAGACATCAGTATCCTTAAAGTGGGTGTACCTACTTGGTCTCTCAAAACCCATTGAATTTTGGTTTGGTTTGATTTTAGTTTTGTTGTGGTTTTGGTTTGTCTGTTTTGTTTTGGAGAGACAGTCTCACTCTCTAGCCCAAGCTAGCCCTAAATTCATGATCCCACTGCTTGAGCCTCCTAGTGCTAGGATACAGGTACACATCACCGTGCTCAGCCCGCACCTAAGAGGTCCGTGTATCTTGCACTACCGACTCAACACTGTTATAATGCAGGGTTCAACCTGGTGTTGACTTATGAAGAAAGCATTGTTTTACTACCTCAGACCCAAAGGAATAAACGCTATAAAACCATAACCAAGGGACAAATCCTAATTGAACTGTATATAGAGAAATATTTTAAAGACATTGAAATTTCGCTTTATTGGTAATTGGTAAAAGCCTGACTAACATTGCATAGAGATAACTTAATTTTGATTATTTTAATTAAAAGCTGAATGTATCCTGTCACAAGACTGAAACTCTCCCCCAGCCAGCAGCCCTTAAGGATAGGCAGGACTCAGGAGGCTGAGAAGTGAGCATCCTTGTCTGCAGCCTCACTTTGAGGAACACAGGGGAAGGGTGGGAAAGCAATCATAGGGCACGGATAAGACTGTGTGACTCTGCTCTCTCCATCGGAGCTGAATTGAGCACAGGGAAATACCCGGTTCTGACCGCTTGGGCTCAAACTTAAACTTATACTGGTAGGGATAGACTCAGAAACCTATAATCATGCGCAGCCCAAGTGAAGTCCTCAGATGACAGTCTATATTATTTCTAATACTGTTCATTTACAGTAAATCTACAACAGCTGTCTTGGCATTGACATCTCAATTCCCATTCTAAAAATGCTTCACTGTGTTCCTGTAAATACAAGATAACCAAACCATTGTGTACATCTCTGCTGTTAAGGTTTGTTGTTTGTTTTTATCCTGAAGAAGCCAGTCGTGGAAAAGCAAGGTTTATTTAAAGCAGTATACAGTTTAGACTGGGCTAAGTCACTTGCGGTCCTCACTGCACACTTAGACTGGACTAAGTCACTTGCAGTCCTCACTGCACACTTAGACTGGACTAAGTCTCTTGAGGTCCTCATCGCATTCCGTGCTTTTGAGAGTTTTGCTGAGTCGTGCTAGAATTATTAGCAGTACTGAAGCAGCTTTTCCTAGTGAATATGCACGTGTGTTTGTATTCCTTTCTCCACAGTTTGGGGGTCAGGCCTACAGTGATGTGGAACACACTGCAGTCCAGTGCAGAGCCCTGGATGGAATTGAGTGTGCCGGCCCCCGGACCTTTCTACGAGAAAATAAGCCTTGTATAAAGTAAGTTCTACTTTCATTGTTGTACTGCGTGTGTGGTGCTGGGATTTGAACCCAGTACACCTTCTAAGCAAGTGTTCCGCTAATGAACTACACCCCTAGCTCCAACTGTTACTTTGAAAGGGGGTAATGGAGGTGCCAGCTGATGGGACTTTTTCTTTGAAGTTTTAAAGAATGCCCGTGCTTCCTCCTGTATGCGGCCTGCTGACTGAGGCAGTGTGATTGCAACAGCTAGGAGCAGAAGTTGTGGGTTCTGAGTTTTCCCGTCTGCCCCCTCATCCCAGGTTGCAGGCCCTGGGCCAGACAGTGTAGCTTCAGGACTCCCAACCGGCAACCAGCCCTTGAAATCTGCTTTAAGACTTCTGGAACAAGGTTTTGCAAAGAAATTCGGGGGTTCCTCAGCTGAAATCACCTGATACTAAAGAAATCTGGAGTAAATTCTCCGAAGAGATACAGACCCTGCTTAGACTGTTAGCTTATGCAAGAAGCCTTAGTGATGCGTAGTGACATTAGCACGTGCAATCCCGTGTTCTCACTGACACGTAAAGATTGGTCAGATAAAAGGAGCTCAAGGAAAGAGTGCTTCCTTTAGAATTCAGGAAGCCAGCAGAGCCACAGGCCCCCAGACCCTCAGCTACCACAGTCTGTGATGCACTAGGCTAGTCCAACTCTGTGTGTGTGTGTGTGTGTGTGTGTGTGTGTGTGTGTGTGTGTGTGTTCGTGGGGGTGGTGGCTAGGTTTGCACTTGTTGACTGCAGGGCCTGTGAAGACCAACAGAGGGCATCTGGTCCAGGTGCTTGTGAGCCACCTGATGCCGCTGATGGAAGCCAAACCTGGCTCTTCGAGAGAGCAGCAAAAGTGTTCCTAACCACTGAACCATCTCTCCAGGCCCCTTTCTGTTCTTAAAGTCCCTTCCTATCTTAGCAAGTGCTTTTTTGGAGATGCTAGAGCAACTAGAGATAGGGAAGCACTCACAAGAATCTGTTACTTTTTTTATGTCTCTGGAGAGACTATCCATTCCAAAACTGAAAAATTCAGTGTTAGCAAAGGATCTAGTCAGCATGTCCTAAATATGCCAACTCATGCCCTGAGCCATCTAGTGCTTGTCTTACCCAGGAGACTACTTCTTTGCCTTCATCATCCCAGGTCATGTGTCAAGCCACTAGGGCCCACACTGAATGTAGCTTAAAGCTGCTGGTTATTCAAGTAGCCTAAATTGCTGATCTGTCCTGCCTTGGCTTTTCTGCAACACCCCCAACAAAGATTGCAACCTGGACCTACCCCTTCCTCCTATCCTGACCACCACGTTCTCCTTCCCGTGTGGCCCAGTAGGGTGGTAGCCCTGCCTCCTCTCTAGGACCCATGAATGTAATAAGCTATCTGTTTGGCTTCCCCCCCCCCCCCCCCCCCGCCAGGCTTTTTTGTCTCCGCCCCCCCTCCCCCAATAGCCACACCTTACTGAATGTGTCAAGAGAGAACCGAAGCAGGGTGAGAGGCCCCTACAGCACAGCCAACAGCTGCTGTGCTTTCTTATGGTCCCATCAGTTGTCATGAGGCAGACATCTCCTCCCTCCACGCAGGTACACCGGACACTACTTTATAACCACGCTGCTCTACTCCTTCTTCCTGGGATGTTTTGGCGTTGACCGGTTCTGTTTGGGGCACACTGGAACAGCCGTCGGGAAGCTGCTGACCCTGGGAGGACTCGGGATCTGGTGGTTTGTCGACCTGATTTTGCTCATCACTGGAGGCCTGATGCCCAGTGATGGCAGCAACTGGTGTACTGTATACTAAAGCTGCTGCTGTCCCGTGCTGGCAAGGATAAAAGTGCTTGGCTGCCCGCCTACTTATTACAAACTCCAAATCCTCCTCAGGGCAACACTGTCCTCTTCAGAAGTTCGGACTGAATTTTTCAATCCAAACCTTACCTTTCAGACCAGAAATGGCTAGCAGTGTCGTGGGAGTCCAGTCGTCCCTTTCTTCATGTACAAACTAGCAAACTAATGACTTCTCCCCACAGATCCTCTTAAGTGCTCCATTTCTGTGTGGCTGGATCATGAGGGGGACCCAACAGGATAAACGAAGTGCATGTTTATCCGTGCACAGCCTTTCGTGACCCTGAATTTCTAACCACAGGTCAGAAACTGTGCCAATGAGAAATCTCCAGATGACATAGAAAAGACTGTGGATTTAATACACACCGAAATTCTGACTCTGTGAATTTAAATTACAGAATAAAGTGTTAAAGCCTCATCTGCTGTGTTTTCCAATGGAGAATGAAGCTCAAAACCTGCCTTTTGCTGAAGGGTGAACATTAGAAATGAAAGCTGTGGTCTGAGTGTGCAGGGTCTTCCTGCAGCCTGCCTGCTCTAGTCGTCGCTCGGCCCGTGGTCATGACAGTGCAAGTGCCACTGCCCTGACTCTGGGCTGCTGGAGTGTTCTAGAGACAGTAATTTCTTCATTCCAATTATGTTCTGAAATCCAACAATGGCAAACATGTATGAGTTAACAGATTAGTATTTTCCCATTTTAATCAGCCTTTAAAATATGGGCCCCATATATTTAAAGTGATTTAAAAAGACTGCGTAGGCTAGAGTACATTTCATCTGTGGCCCTTGGGAGATAGAGGCAGGCAGACCTGAGAGTTAGAGGACAGCCTGGTCGACACAGTGAGACCATGTCTTTAAAAAAGAAAAGGATTCTATACGAGTAACTAACACTTTCCTGCATGATCAGGTGAGAACAAATGAGGAACGCATACCCTTAGAAAGAAAAGTGTATGCCTGCTTAGAGGATACTGACTGCTGGGGACAAGTCCGGATGTCTGAGGGGAGAGAGGAGGAAACGCTCTTGCCCACACAAGCGTGACAGTAAAAGTTTTCAGGGTACCACAGTGTTAGAGCCAGCCAAGCCTCTGCAGTCCCAAGTCACTGGGAAGAAAAGCGTTCTGAATGATAGGCAGCTTTCAAAATCTAAGTTGAAAAGAGACGTTAAATATAACGTAACTGGCAGGTCAGACCAAGAGCATGCTCCTGAACTAGCCATGGGTTCTAGAAAGAGCAGAGCTACTCCGCCTTCATTCCCATAATAACTGACATAAAGACCAGCAGAGTTCAGGTGAAATTGGTCCTGGAAACAGCATCATTTTGTAGAATTCTTAGAAGTTTCTGCCTCAGCATCCTTGATTAATGTCACTGTTCTCACGTTATTAAAGATGGCCACTGTAAAAACTTTGAAAACATCACACTGACCTTAACCCTGCTTACAACAATAGCAATTGGAAGAGTCAATTCATAGTCTCTACACACTACGGTTGTATTTTTCGGTTCATTGTGAAGAAACTAGACCTTAAAAATACACAAATGAAGCTTCCCATAGACTTTAAGGAGATCCAGGGGTGTGATATAGATATATAGATATTTTTTTTTAAATTCTGGAAGGCTCGATGGTGAGTGCTCCCTGGGTTTGACCCTGCACTCTCCCAAGTCTGGAAAACAGTAACTAAAAATAGTTTGCTCAGAATAAACTATTTAAGCCCTGAGTCGGCCCTACCACAGCTCACTATGTAAAATGTCTGAGTGTTTGTAAGCTCCGTTAAAAGGAAGAACCTACATATAAGTCTACAAATGATTCAAAATAACTATTTTAATGGAAGAAGTTTTCTCGAAACACTAGAGGACCAAAATTGTTTATACTGCTAAAATGGTCATTTTGAGACTAATATTCCTGTGTTATAACCTGATATCATCAGTTTCAGTCTGTCTTGTAATTGATGACTTTTCTACTCCCAATCCCTGGCCAAGAATGTGATATAACTTAGGAAACTGAAGTATACGAAGGAGGATTACTTAAAATGTGATTGCCTTTTTACTGCAGATTCAGACTCTTACTATTTGGTAGGTAGATGGTTTGTACGTATGTTTGACATAGCAGGCTATGGCTATATAGGAGGTTACCAAAGTCTCCTGTCACGATTCACTTGGGAACTACCTGTTTTCCAGTTGTTTTCTGTCTTCCAATTTTACCAGACCATCATGCTGCTTCCACTTGGCTTCAAAGATTTTTGCAACAGAGAAACATCCCCAACCTCAAGATCCGTGTGTGTGTGTGTGTGTGTGTGTGTGTGTGTGTGTGTACAAATGTGCATTCATGCATTCAAACCATCCATTTTTCTTGACATCCCAAAGCCCCTGCCACCTTTGTCACTTCTTCAATACTAACCATGTACTATAACTGATTTTGCTAGCCGGTTTTTCGGAGTAAGGTACTTAATTGATTATTTCAGGTGTGACTGTCAGAAACAAGGTCTGACTTCCTCGGCGCACAGTGATGGAGAGAAAGTCATTGTCCTTAACAGCTTCGATGACATCAGTTGTGGTGGTGACAGGTTGCCCATTTATGCTGACAATTATGTCATGGTCTCTCAACCCCGAGCTGAGAAAGAAAGAGGAAAGATGATAAAATCAGGCAGTTGTGGTGCACGCCCTTAATCCCAGCCCTCAGGAGGCAGGGGCAGGCAGATCTCTGAGTTTGAGGCCAGCCTGGTCTACAGAGCTAGTTCCAGAACAGCCAGGGCTGCACAGAGAAACTCTGTCTCGAAAAACAAAAATAGAGATTGATGAAGGCAGAAGAAGAGTTCTACTCATTCCCATTTGGGGGGTGTAGTCTGTCTGTCTGTCTGTCTGTCTGATTCCCTCCCCTACTCCCACACACACACACACTGCCCCACTATTTTGCTGATCTTTAGACATAAACCAAGAGGGTAGGACTAGCCTGAATCCCTCCAGCTGTGAGGGCTGCTGGCCTGTGTGTCATGAAGCCAACTAGAGGATGATGAGCACGATGAGCCTCTGTGTTTCCTATATTAAGACCCTGTGAGAATTCTGGGAGAAGCTGAGTCCTCGCATCCATCGGATCTCCCTTGGAATGGACAGTTCAGCTTCTGATTTCTCTTCGCCTCTGCCCTATGTTCACTGCAAACATTACCGAATCCACTAGCAAGACTGCCAAAGACCAGTGTTTTTCCCCCGGGAAGCTGTGCTCTGATGAGCCTGACTGGACAGCCCATCCCATGGTTTCTGGAACTGGAGCACGATGAGCTGTTGTGTGTCCCAGATGTTCTGCTTCCAGTACACCAATCGCCACTCAAGCTTCCAAGTCCAGATGTTTACAGCTCTGACTCGGAGCTGTCGTTTTATTCAGTCATCACACTGACCTCACATGGAATATATATTCTGGATACAGATTCCAATTCCAAAAGCAAAGTGCAAAAAACGTGGACAGGCTGGTTGGGTGTGTAAAGGTAAGAATGGGGTGAGGGGGCATCAAATGACTCCAGAAGATGCTGTTTAAAAAAAAAAATAAAAATAAAACAAGACTCAAGAAAAAAATGACGCTGGGCACACGCCTTTAATCCCAGCACTTGGGAGGTAGTGGCAGGCAGATCTCTGTGAGTTCGAGGCCAGCCTAGTCTACAAGAGCTAGTTCCAGGACAGGCTCCAAAGCTGCAGAGAAACTCTGTCTCCAAAAACCAAAAAGAAAAAATGACAGTGTGAGCAGATTACCAAGATATGTGGAGTTTGAAAGCTATAAGGAGCTTAGGGTATAGCTTAGGGTACAGGCTATGTTTAGCATGTACTTGGCCCTTAGTTCATTGGCCCGCATCAAGGGGGCGAGGTGCAAAGGGGCACTGGGGTATGAAGAGAAGGAAGGGCAAAGCTCCAGGCAAGGAATCAGTAGGAACAAGGACAGCATCTGACTCAGCAGTCGTGAGCAGGGACACGGGACAAGGAGGAAGCAGTGCTGTGGCTGTCCACTGAATACGAGGAACTTAGCCCACAAAGGATAAGTGGCCTCTTCCCGTGTCTCAACCTCCGAGAGATTAAAGCGAGATTTGCTCCTGTGTCTTTCAGACTTGAAAATCCATCTTCTGGCCACTAAGTCAACTCTGCCTCTTGGAAAGGAGAGTAACTACAAAGTCAGGACTGTAGAGGAATGAAGCCAGGGTGCTCACCTCCTCTCTGGCCTCTGTGTAACTCAACACAGCTGCTTCCTCTTAAAAACAAGGACTATGTCATAAGGCTCCAACAACTGTGTAAGAACACTTTGGTTCCTCGGATGTAATAAATGCCTCCTAAGTGCCAGCTGCTGTTTGTAATTATTAGTAGTTATTAAATATAAGCAGTTGAAAGCCAGCAAGGATGGATGCTGGGCTGTCGAGAGACTGACAGCAGTGATTCTCACTTTGACATGCGTGTACTACCCACCTGGGAATCCTGTTTAAAATGAATACTCTCCGGGGGAGGGAGGCTAATGGGAGAGCAGGTAGTTAGCCCACACAAGACCCTGGGTGTGAATTCCAGAAAACAAGAAATAATAGAGTTTAATAGAGTTCAGGAGAGTTTGAGAGAGAGGAAGGAAGAGGGACAGAGAAAGGTTCATCTTACACAGTGTGCACAGCTAACTCCAACACTTGGGAAGTCAGGACAAGAGAATTGGGAGTTCAAGACTAGCGCGGAGATGGGATGGCAGGGGGAGGGGGAGTCTGATTCAGGGATGGGGGCTCAGGCACAACTTAAAGAGCTGAGAGTAGTTCTCTGGCTTTGGATCAGAAGTTAAAATAAGGAGAGCAAGGGCACGGCAGGGTGGGGACCCAGAGAGTCTAGAAAAGCTTAGGACATGCCAAATCTAGTAGTGTGAGACCTGACACTTGGCCATGTCAAACTGCTGGTACCTTGAGTTCTTCCAGGTCTAACGGTGTTGCCAACGTCTAAACAGACTGCTGAGCCCTTGAAAAGCAAACAGTGAACGGTACTAAAGGAAGGGCAGGGCCCAGGAGAGCAACATTTGCAGAAGAAGCTGCCTCTCCCTGATACTAAATATGCTAAAGCAGAGCAGAGGTGGAAACAGCTGCTAAACCTTCCGCAGGGCTGTTTGATCTAGCAGCACAGGTGTCAGCCCCAGCCGTTTGCACTGCCATTCGGTCCTCAGAGAACCCTGAATCCTTCCCGTTCTTTTCTCTTCCCTTTTCACCCCCCACCCCCACTGTCAGCAGTGCCACAAGAATACCCAGCTACACAACCATCCCCGAGATGCAGAGGACCCAGCTCAGACCCCTTCAGTCTCCGTGAGCCCCTGAGCCCTGCTGAGCTGGTTAATCCTTCCCATTCTCATTAACTACTAATTACTGAAGTGTTGAAATCATTTGTTTATCCTTAGTTTGTGGTTATTAATAACTGAATAACTGGGACATCATAGCCCATGCCTATAATCCTAGCATTCAGGAGGCAGAAGCAGGAGGATTACAAATTTCAGGCTAGCCTGGACTACACAGTGAAGCCATGTCTCAAAAATTCAATAAGTAAAGAGCTTGGAAAGACTCAGAGTAAAGTACTTGCCACACCGCTTGAGGAAGGTTTGGACCCCCAGCACACGTATTTTTAAAACTGCTGGACACAGTGGCACATGCCTGAGATCCCAACACTGAGGAGGGAGAGACAGGCGGATCCCTAGAACTCTGGGGACAGCCAGCACAGCCAGACTGGGGGTTCCAGGTTCACAGAGAAACCCTGCTTCCAAGCATTAGATGGGAGTGACTGAAGAAAACACTCAGCATCTACCTCTGCCTTCCACACATGCAATGTGCACATACACATGAAAACAAACACCGAATTCTAAAATTAATATAGAAGTCATTAATAACTTAACATAAAACTTATTCAGTAATAACCTGTAATATTGAAAGAATATGTTTAGGAGCTAGTATACAACTTATCTTACCTGGAAAAAAAGGAGAGAGGTTTAATTTGGTAATTGCTTTTTGTTGTTGTTTTGTTTTATTTTTTGTGGGTTTTTTTTTTTTTGCTTTTTTGGGTTTTTTTGTTTTTGGTTTTTTTTGAGATAGGGTTTCTCTATAGCTTTTTTTAGAGCCTATCCTGGAAGTCGCTCTGTAGAACAAGCTGGCCTAAAACTCACAGAGATCCACCTGTCTCTGCCTCTGAAGTACCGGGATTAAAGGCTTGTGCCACCACCACCACCGGGCAAATTTGGTAATTTCTTTAAAAATTAATCTTAACCTAGACTGCGACCCCTATCAGCACTGCTCAGTATAAATGTATTGCAAGCCGTGCTTTAAATTTTATAGTCACCTTTTTAAAAAGTCAGATAAAGCTGCCTTCAATAGCACATCTTATTAATGCCATCAATCTAAAATTTTGTCATTCTAACACAAAATAAAAATTGTGAAGTTTTGACAAATATTTTGCACTTTTCTATATGCCTTTGCCATCCACATAAAATAGTACACACCCAGTCTTCCCCTATGCTCTGATAGCTCATCCAAAGCCATAAATAACACAAAATACAGTCCTTCTGAAAATGAAAAAGAAAATAAGAAAATTGTTTGCCTTGTTTCTTTCCTTTACATCAACTAAAAATACAATTTTAAATTGTATTACGGAGTCACACTGGGCAGCTCTCAGGAGCTCAGTGTGCAGTGTGTATAGGCCATGACGAGGATGCTGGTGCTCCAAGCTCAGCCTGGTGCCTGCCAAGAAACAACACAGGAGGCTGGGCAAAGGCCTCTCACTTACCTTGCAGCAGCCGTTCCTTGAATCACTTCATAGACAAAAACTCCAGAGCTCACATCAGGGAAATCCGGATCTTGCCTCTTCATTTCTTGTAGGAGGCTGAGAACAGTACAATGGTTAGCAAACACAAGGAGCCCCTGGGGCCTAGGAAAAGACTTGCGTGATCAGAAGGCACACAGCCTATGTCTTTCCCCATCTCTTCAGCTGGAGACCGGCAGGCACCCAGGCAAATCCCACCCAGCCAATCACAAGCCACCCATGCTGTGTGCTGGCCCCTCCCCCAGGCCAAGGCTTTGCATCTCTGGACATGATGTAACCCAGGCAGAATGAAAGACAGTGGGGCTGGCAGAGGGAGACACAGCCCTACAATAGAGCCTGTGGTCACAAGGGTCCCTTTACTGCTGTCCAAATGCTTGTTTTCTTGGTAAGATTGCCAAGTGATGACATGTTACCATAGTTACCCAGGGCTTACTTCAGAGTGAGGGGCAACATTCGAAGACCCAGGTATCTCTTCTGTGAAGGGGCCTTTCCTGGAAAGGAAGGTCATGACGTATGACTCACAACTCGGCTTATTTCCATTTGGCGCAGCTTAAGAGACACCTAGATCCCAGACTCGCTGTTAGACCGTCTAGCCTTGTACAGCCTCTGCTTCAGAGAGCAGCTGTGGTCAACACAGATGCATCTCCACTCAGTGGCTTCGTCTCTAAACTGTACAATACCAGCGTTTCCGTGATGTCTCACATTAGCTTTGTGCTTAGCACCCCGATATGATTACCCGACACCCACTACCTCAACCCCATAAAGAAGTCAGGCCTCCAAAAGTGGGAGTGCGTATGAAAACAGAGGGGCTAAATCCCCCCAACTTCCTTCACCTTTCAACTGGCGCTCGTGATAGTCTGCCAGGAACTGTCTGATCCGATCCGAGGGAATCGCAAAGGAGATTCCTGCCGTCACCTTCAGGGTGTTTATACCAATCACATCGCCATCCTGGCCAGGAAGGGGAAACTTGAAGTTAAATCAGGATGCTCTGCACACCGAACCATGTAACATCAGGACCAGCAGAGGAGAGTAAAACTAATCTCACAGGGTCAAAACAAGGGGGTGAGGGAGAATCTACTTCTTCACTGCAGAGAACAGATGTCATCTTCCTGGGCAATTAGCATGCCCAGGGAAGGAAGTGGCACTTCACATATACAAGTTACATTTTGTCACTTTAAAAAGCCAAGGCTGCTGTGGAATATGTATCATTCCCTAGCTCATTCTCCTGTTAGTAAATGGCACTCATTTTTAAAGATGGGCTATGTAGTAATAAGGGCGGCGGGGCTGCGTCCCCAGCACCCCGGCTGCCTGGCTAGCTTATGCCCGAAATAACAACACACAAACGGTATTCATTTAATCACTGCTTGGCCCATTTCTATCTAGCCTCTTCTAGGCTAATTCTCACATATTAATTTAGCCCATTTCTGATCATCTGTGTAGTGCCCCTAGGTGCGCTTACCGGGAAGATTCTAGCCTATGTCCATCCTGGGTCAGAGCTTCATTGCATGTGTCTGGCCTGGCGAGGGGAGCATGGCGTCTCTCTGAGGCGTCTGCTCCCGAGAGGAGAGCTGTCGAGTCTGAGCTCACTTCCTCTTCCTCCCGAGAGGAGAGCTGTCGAGTCTGAGCTCACTTCCTCTTCCTCCCAGCGTTCTGTTCTGTTTACTCCTCCCACCTATCTTCTAACCAATGAGGGCCAAGCAGTTTCTTTTTATTTAACCAATGACCTTCCTCCATCATTTCCCCTTTTTTGGTTTAAACAAAAAAAAAAATGGGAACTCAACAATTCTGGAGTATGGTCTGCAATTCTATATTCCATCCCTGCTCTACGTAGATGCTATATAATTGGAAGATGGGCACAGTGCTACGAGGAGGAATCGCTGTGTTGGCCAACACTGTAGCCAAATGGCGAGTGCTTGCCCAGCGTGCATCCCAGGCCTGGGTTCCATCCCAGAGCTAAGGTCGGGGAGGATGCTTGAAAAGGAAGTAGCAGCTGGAGGAGAAGCCTGAGCCTAGGAGTACTGTACTCGTGCAGGTGAGCAAGCAAAAGCTTCAGCATCACCAGTAGAGGCACTGGTTCAATTAGGAATAAACCACAGGCCAGGCAGTGGTGGTGCACGCCTTTAATCCCAGCACTCGGGAGGAAAGTGGGTCTCTGTGAATTCGAGGCCAGCCTAGTCTCAAGACCAAGTTCCAGGACAGCTAGGGGTGCACAGAGAAACCCTGTCATGAAAAACAAGCATACGTCAAAGATTAAAACACACAGCAGAACAACGGATTCTGGGTATGGCTTTTCTGTCGTCTGTGAGCAGGCAGAAGACTAAAAACCTGGATAGACTGTACCCTTCAGTCAGTGTTATCAGATGAGGGATCATTCATCTGTAAAAGAACTGTGATCTCAAGGGTGTACAAGACATAGCACAGTGGTCTTCTGATAGAAGTTGGAGCTTAATCTCCTGGGCTTTTTGGTAACTATCCAATGGCAACAGAAAGCATATAAAAGAGGAAAACTCTGAAATAAGCTGTAGCCAGGGCCCTGGTGGTGCTTTTGGTGAGATGAGAGCACATGCCAGGAGGATAAATCCCTCACAGGCTCCAAAGTTTTCCCTAACCATTTCCTTAAGACCCAAAAATAAAAAGCATCATTGCTTAATCTCCCCATGAGAGTGGTACCCAAGTCCGTATTACAGATTTTGAAACACGTTTAAAGTTAAGAGGAAAAATAAGTAAAGAAAGCGGCCACTTACCAAGTTCACCAGTGGGCCCCCGGAATTCCCGTGCTGAAGACAAGTCGAGAAAGCCACCAGTTAGCAAACATACATTTCTCCTCATCATTTATACAGGGTTCCTAATGAGTTTTACCCGAGCCGTCTGCTTCCCAAGGCAGCCAAAATCATGCCTGTCACCCTCCCAATCCTAAAGTCAGTGGGGTACAGAGCAAAGCAAAAGGACCCCACACGGTATCACAGAAGTGACCTCTGCGACAAGTCCCAAGGGTGGATGCCCGTTATATCAAACATTGGGCTCTAGCAACAGGGCATTCCAGCCCTCCCTTAGGGATGTCCTCTGAGAATGCTCAAAAGACCAAAGGGAAACAAGATCACCCTAAAGTTTTCTTCTGACTCTATTCCAGCAATACCTTCTGGGCTGAGAACAGATTCCCGGTGACTTACGTTGATGATGGCATCTGTCTGAATATAGTCTATGTCTGAATCCTTCAGTCCCAGCTCTTTGCCACCTCTCTGTGTGGTGCTGACAATCCCGGCAGTCACCGTGTCCTGCAGAGAAAACGGGCTGCCCAAAGCCACCACGAACTCTCCAGCCCGGAGATCAGATGATCTCCCCAGCAGCAACACAGGAAGGTCAGTCTGCACATGGGAGCAAGGGACAAAGAAAGGAAAGATGGAGAAGAAGAGCACGGTCAGCCAGTACCTGCTCGCAGGTGACACCAGAAAAAACATACACAGAGAGTGAAGCCCTTGGCTAGGCCTCCTTTCATGAGGCCCCCAGCTTGAGTTTCCTGTTCCCCATGACTGAACACCTGACTTTGGACTTGGCCTTCTCATCCCTCCTGTCTGATGGCGGTGACAGATCAAAAAGATTGGAATCAGGCTGGGTGGGCTGACCCTTGGACTTGACTAAGCTTATAAAGCCCTATGGCTGGACCAGGAATCAAGTCAGGGGTTGGGCAAATCTTGACGGACGGTATGCGAGATCTCCCCGTTCCCACCAGCATGAGTTCTGCAGAGGGCTAACTACTCTAGACCTCAGGTTAGAATAGGCCTATTAGCCCAAGTAGGCCTCAAGACCTTGAAGCCTGAGAGTCAGGTAGGAGCCCAAGTGGAAAGCAACACAGAGGGCATCTCCCCTGGGCCTTGTGCTGGCCACCCAGGTGCCTTGAAGGTTAAGAAGGTAAAGCTGCAACCAAATCCCCCAAGAATCCCAGAACCTGGAAGCTCTGCAGAGAGAAACTGGGGCAACCTGCCAAGCTAAGCTGCTGAAGCCGAGGTAGCTAATACTGGGGTACACCCAGGCATTCTCTTTGGAAAGGTTCAGCCAGACAATCATCTGTTGCTTTGAAGCTCTGCAATTCAGTCTCAGAGGTGTGTGAGCTGCAGCCCCTGCTGAGTTTGCCACTGCAGTTGGAAAATCTACCTGGCAAGAGCAGCCTTGGCTGCAGGGGGATGCAGTCCAGCCTGGCTCTGTAGCCCTTGCCAGAAGGGCAAACAATCTAGCATTGTTCCCAAAGGAAGGAGCATGAAGCTGCAGGGTCCCTTTCCTGGGGGATAGGGTGAGCTGTGTCCTTTCCTCTGTACCCAGTCCAGTTGGGACCCCAGGGATAGGAGTCCACACTTCACCCTGTTCTACTCTGCCATCCCTTTCCCTGACCCTTTCCTCCCACCCCTGTGCCGACTCTGGGTTCTCCAGACTGAGTCACCTGCTCTGCCCAGGGATGGAGTGGAGCAAAGGAGGTAAGCCAAAGGGACCTGGAGTCTGTACCACAGCAGCTTTGGGGATTAGGTTCTTCATTTACTGAGGAGAGACTGGAAACACAGCAGGTAGGGGGAAGAGGGCAGGAGTGTAAGGGAAGGCATTGAGGGAATGTGAGGTTTCAGTGAAGCTCTAGGTTTTCCTTTTCTATTTCTTTCTCCACCCCCCCCCCTCGGCTTTTTAAGACAGGGTTTCTCTGTAGCTTTGGAGCCTGTCCTGGAACTAGCTCTTGTAAACCAGGCTGGCCTCGAACTCACAGAGATCCACCTACCTCTGCCTCCTGAGTGTTGGGATTAAAGGCGTGCACCACCACTGCCCGCTGAAGCTCTAGATTTTAATCTCTACATCACTCATGACTTTGTTCTTTAAAAAGAAGCCTGGGACACCAGGGTTTAGGAAAGGGCAGGGGGAGGGGACACACGTACCCTACATACAGAGAAAAGGCATGGTGAAGGAATTTAAAAGAAAATAAATATCAGCAAATACTGTGAAATCCGCACAAGTGAAGACTCCGACTTAGCTCCCGACTACTCACTTTCGGCTCAATCTTAATCAGTGCGAGGTCCAGCTTATGGTCTATGTCTTTGACAGTGGCTTCATAGCGGGCCCCACTCTGGAGTTCTACCTGGATCTTCTGATGGTTGGTGAGGACGTGAGCATTGGTGACGATGAGTCCATCCTCAGACACTATGAACCCAGAGCCACTGGAGGCAGGGATTTCCTGGTTGGTGAGAGGTGACCTGTACCGGAACAAGGCAATAGATGAACTAAGGGCAGGGACTGGGGAATCCAGACATGGTTTGTTAGACCCAGGAAACATCGCATTTATCAACCAGAGCCCCAGGAGTTTTCTCAAGCATTATCCCTTCCCCTGTGTATTTCCATCCTGAGCCACATGTAGCATGGCCCGGCCATCTCTTCTGAGCACAAATCAGAACCGGGTCCCGAGACCCTGCTTACTTCAAATCGAGCCAGAGTGACAACCTGTGGCATCTGCTGAGAAGAGACCAAACCTGGTGCTAACACTGTAAAGGCTCACACCGCTGTCACAATGTCAAAATCTAGCTCTTGGTTTCCGCTGTCAACTGGCGTCGTGAAACAGAACAAATCAAGTTTCTGTCGATCCGGGTTTCCTTGCGCACAAGCGGTGGCTAAAGCTAATCAGAGAGCAGCAAATGTTGACTAGCTCCGACAGTCAGCCTTAAGCTTTGCTTGTGGAGCATGGGGGGGAAAAGAAACATCAGCCACCAATGTGCACGGGTGAAACTTGGATTTAGAAGCCAGAATCCTCACGCTTGGCCTTTTGCGCTTTAGCGAAAAATAACTCTTAATAATTTTTCTTCGGGTACTGGGCAGGAACCTGAGGTTTCCCCGCCTACTTCGCACGAGCTCCATGGCCCAGCTACATCCCAGCCAACTCTTTGAAGCTGGGTTTTCTCACAACAGATTTGTTTAATGATCAGATAATGCGCAGCCATCAGGTGAGGTAGCTGACCCTCTGTGCGACCTTTACCTGCGGAATAACTGCAAGTGAACCACAGATGGCGCCACTTTCTCCACCACCGCTGCGATAAAGTTAAACTTCCTCCTGAGCCGCCCTGCACTCCTGGTCCCTGTGAATAAATGGTCCACGGTGAGGGCAGGCATTGTTCCCTGGAAGCAGATGTCACATTTCAAAATCCTTCAGCATCTCTCCGTCCTCCTGCCTACGCAGGTTCTCTAGACTAGCAGAAGGAAGGACCCAGACTGTCATACCAAAGGGAAGAAAAGGCGATAGAAAAATCCCGGTGAAAACGAGTAGAGACCACATTATCCAGGCAAGAACACCAGAAATAACCACAACAGGTTGAATCTCTGGAACTGGCGAAGGAGGGCAGACCCCGCGAGCCAGCGCGCAAACTCAAGAGCACCCACTTTATCTACTTAGGAAAACTCAGAAGTATGGGGGGACGGGGGGCTGGGATGTCCTTCACCTCTCTCACCTGAGTCCCCGCAGCCTCCTTTCTGCACGGGCACTGCCGGGGGCGAGCCCCGTAGTCGCGCGGCTCTGTTCTCCTTACGCAGCGCGCACAAGCTGGGGTAGGTGCGCCCATCGCTGCCGCACACCTCCGCGCCCTCCACGCCCTCCACGCAGCCGCAGGTGCCCAGCCATGAGCCCCCGATAGGCTCCCTGGAAAACGGGGCACCGCAGCGCAGCCCCGAGACGCACGGCCGGCCCCGGGTCCCGCCACACTCCTGACCCTCTCCCGCAGCGCACACACGGCAGCAGCCGCAGCGGTCGGGCACCGGCGCGGTGCCAGTCGAGCAGGTGGGCAGGGGCGGGCAACGTGTGACATCGCAGGTCTCAGGACAGGGCATCGAGACTCTGGACCTTCTGGCCTCCACCCAAGGAACAGGCAGCAGCAGCCACAGCAGGAGAAACTGTGCCCACACAGTCCAGAGCGCCTGGGAGCTCATCCTGTTCCTTGCCCTCTTGGATTTCACTTTTCCAGTTACTCCTCTCAGGATTCACAACTGGCCTAAAATAAGCAACACGTTTTCCTGGCCTTGGTGCCGCCTCTGCCAGCCTCTAGACTTTTTAAAGGACAGCGTCTGGCTCACTTCTGCGCACACACACCCATATATCACCCACCACCCCGTGCCACCCCAGAACCAGAGCCACCCACCTATAAGCCACGAAGGGAGGGATTCTAGTCATGGGTCAAGTGACAAACGTGACCACCCGCCCACGGCCACGAGATCCGACCAAGAAAACAACCGACCAGATTTCAATATTTCACATGTTTTTATTACAAAAACAAGCAACCAAACAGTTTTAGAAAATGACGTTTTGCTACATACCAATTAGGAAATCACACAACATAAGAAGCTGGAGTTTCCATGCACTTAGCTCAGTGCCTTTGGAGGTGTGTTTCACAGCTCAAACACAGGCTCAAACGGGACATGCCACACCTTCATAAACAGAGGACACGCTGTGTGTTTTTGCCAGACATTCACTTTATTCAAAGCCTACCTAGTATGAGTGACTGTAATTGACTCTAGCAGGCAATAACACCCAGAGAGAAGGGAAGGAAGGGGAGCACTGAGAAAAACAGATTTTAGAGAGAAAAAAAATCCAAGTTAGAAGTGACATGGGAAATTTAATTTCCAAAATGCTGCCATTGCCTACCAGATGGCTGTTTATTTGGTTAATACTGAAAATGTCAAATCCCCTGTTCAACGGCTGATCTGCTATTTATTCGGAGAGTCATTTTAGTCCTGAAGCAAAACCAGTTTGCTTCTAGTAAACTAAGATGCTGGGCCTTAAATCTTTCCCCAGGAGCTCAGCATTGTACCTGGAGAAGAGGCATCATTCTACCGCTTTGACCTGAGGTCCCTCCCAAGGCCGTGGTCTTCCATACCCTCATCAGGGTCCACAGAATGAGAAAGGCACAGTATTTTTGCTAATTCTCACCTGATCTTGGTAAGCAAGCCCATCAAATCTTTCAAGGCTAAAGGATGGTGAGCCCTTAAATTGCAGAGAACACTGCCTTAGGAGCCTTGTAGAAGAACCCGACCTCAGAGACTGCATTTATTCCAAAAAAAAAAAATACATTTAAAAAGCAGTACCTTTTATAATTCAGAAATCCCTTCTGATTTAGCCACAGCATACGTTTATCCACGAATCCACACTGTATCATACCCTATTTTCCCCCACCCCAGGTTCTAGTTTATACATCGAACACTGAAGGTTCATGCACTAATCTTTGACTCACATTAAAACACTGTGAGAGGCCAGATATGGTAGTACATGCTCGTAATCCAAGAACTCGGGAGGCAGAGGCAGGAGGATTATCAGTTCAAAGTCAGCCTGAACTACGTAGCAAGACTCCAGCAAAAGCAAATGGATTTTAAACGGGGAGATGAGTATACAGCTGGTCAGAAATCCAGACAGAAAGGGAATTCTGAAACAAGAATTGAGAATTGGAATGTTTCTGAACTTCACAACGATAATTATGCTTTCTTAACACTGAAGCTATATTAACAACGTTCTAACTAGGAATTCCCGTGTATTGGCCAGGTAGAGTCATTGAAACTGATCTTTCCCTTTCTTTATATAATGTAAACGGCACTGGGTTTAATCTAACGACAATCTCAAAATACTTAATGAGACTATCAGCTTTCTATAATGACCAGTTAATGCAGCAGTAATAGCCTAGCTAGCGGTGTGTTGCAGCGAGACAGACAGATTTTGCAATTTAAACACCAGAACATGACATCATCTGCATGAGTCAGGGAATGCGGAAAGCTCACTCCCGAGCTCCTGACTTATTTTCATTACTTCCTCATCTCACATTGAGCAATTCTGTTGAGCAGCCAAAGAATTTTCTAGAGAAAGATTTTAAGTTGAAACCAGAGACAAAGGGCTTTTAGAATTTGGCTTTTGAAGTAAGCTGTAACCTTGGTCACTCATAAATAAATAATCCCCAAACCAAGAGTTTATGAAAACCAAAACACACAAAAATTATTTTAAAAAACAATAATAAAGGGGGAGGGGGAAAGATGGAGAACAGAAAAAGAGATGGAGATCCAGTGGGTTTTGTTTTTTAGACCAGGAACACAAGGCCAAACTTATAGTGGGGGACAGCTCCCACACGTTGAGCTCAGGAGTCTTCAGTGTGGCACCGGCTTCAGGGTTTCAGCCACATTAGAAAGAACACACTTCTCACACTTACACACTTCCTCTCACACTTACAGAGATTTGTGCCTGTTTTTCTTTTGCATTAACTATAGACACAAGAGTGGTGATTGGCTTAAATAATTTTTAAAAAAGTCTTCTTTGAGCTACAAGTTTCTAACTAAAATACACAACTAACTTATCTAGCTGGTAAAAGATACACAATGAGCCACATCCTCTCTCCTTGGAGGGACAGCCATAGTCTCTGGTAACTCAGTTTACTCAAGGTTGATAGAAAAATGCCTCCAAAGGCAGTGGAAATAGTATATTGCCAAATGGAAAAGCCACACCCTAGAAATCTAATCTTCTGAACTCTTCTAGAACCCAGGAAATTCCTAGCCAATGATTTTTCCTGATTCAGCTTCTTTATTCCCAGTTTCTCTTCCATGAAAAATATAGCCATTAGGAAAAAAAAAAACATCTTTTGTCTCTCCACTGGGGAGTGTATAGGATCTTATCAGATGCTAGGGTTCTACCTACTATATGCATGGCTTCATTTACCGGACAACTTAAAGTATAAAAAGCAAGTCCAAGCCGGGCGGTGGTGGCGTACGCCTTTAATCCCAGCACTCAGGAGGCAGAGGCAGGCGGATCTCTGTGAGTTCGCGGCCAGCCTGGTCTACAAGAGCTAGGTCCAGGACAGGCTCCAAAGCCACAGAGAAACCCTGTCTCGAAAAATAAAAAAAATAAAAAATAAAAAAAAATAAAAATTAAAAAAAAATAGCAAGTCCATCTGCAGGGTGCAATATACAAGCACTTAACGTTAGATAGACACTGCCCCTTTCTTAAAGAGCTGAGAGACAGGGGTTCAAGACCGTCTGTGCCAAAGCAGCACCATTCTCCTGTCTGGAAAGCATGAGTCAAAGATGGTGCCTGACATAAATAATCATCCAACTCCTCTCAGGAGCAGCTTCACCTTAAGGCTCTGAGATAGAGAGTGAATACACACACACACACACACACACACACACACGCACAGGAAATCATTCTACACTTAACCACCACACATATACTCAAATAACATGGTTTCAAGGGAAACGTCTATTCTGATCTCCACGGTCCTGGCGTTTTAACACTGATAACGCCATCCTTGCCATCCTCAGGACCCGACACACAGCAAACAGAGCTGTGGCTCCGTCACCCACGTTGAGAACATTGGGGGTCACAGGGGAGCAAGAGACGAGTATAATTCCCACAAGTGGCTATGGCAGTTTAAACAGCCCTCATGACTCATAAGAGGTCCTCTCTCTTCCCCTGGGAGGCGTCCTGAGGGAACTGCCCGGAAAGACTTTATGAGGTTCGCCGTTCACTCCCCAGATTCTAAGGCCACCTCTCAGATGAGGCCCAATCATACTGCAACCTGAGTCTCCCGAACCCTAGGCCTTTCAGTCCCTATGGCAACCCTTTGCCTGATTTCCACGCATCAGCCAATAAACAGGGGTAGGTGAAACCAGCTCTTAGCCTGATATCCTGTATATAAACTGGAAACCAAACCAAGAAAATGAAAGAAAGACAAATGGTGAGGAGGGTACTGGTTAGGGGTAAAACTAGACTCTAACCACCCCTACCCCAGTTTTAACAGTTAAAACTAACCCCTCACTATGAAACCTGGGGAAAGGGGGGCATTCAAGAGGCAAAAGAGTGTGCCTGTGGGTCTATCCTAATGATTCCCCCCAATTAAATAATAACAAAAACAAAAGCCAGCTGGATGGGTCCCTCCACTGTGAGTGCCATTAGCCTCTGTCCTCCGCCGCGGCAGAGAAACTGAGTCACGGCGCCATCTCTCCGGCACACCATGGTACTGCATATCACACATCAGAGGTCCGTATGTTTTCATCATCGAGGTTGAACACAAATGGCTTCTCCTTGGGGTGCTGGGGCTCCGACCTATGCCTGACCCGTGAACTCGCCAGCACCCCGGTAGCATTGCTCTCTCCAGGGTGAGGCAGGAATAAAGAGTCCTCGGGAGCGTTCTCAGCTGACAGTGGCTTCTCCCCAGCCTGGGGGACAGGTGTCCAGGGTTGCCAGGAGGAGGCCACAGAAGGGGCCTTACAGAGAGCCCTTTTTTCTTCCACTGCCGGTCTCCTCCTCAAGATGAAGTTAGGCCCGCTTGCAAGGCTTGAGCTTCCAGGTCGAGTCAAAGAAACGGATCTAGAAAAGGATGGTTCCTGGAAACAGAAAGAGAAGAAAAAGACAACATGGGGATTTTCCTCACAGTGTTAATCCCAAAGTCTCAAGAAAAGTACCCACCCAGGATCACCACCTCAAACAGGGATGCTTGGCTACACAACTCAAGTAAGTGTATCAGAGTCAGGGGTACCTGCAGTCCCTGCTCCCCAGGAGGTTAAGGCAGGAGGATGACTATGAAGCTCAGGGCTAGTCGGGGCCACACAGCAAATTCAAAAATAATATAAATGCATTTCAAAAGTAAGTAAGTATATAAATAAATGCAGATACTAAGCAGAATTCAGTACATATGTTTGGAGATCTGCTTGACACCGGACTTGCAGGACACATTAGAAACTTCATCTCTCTGTCCAGCCCAACCTCATGTCCACCAACAAACCAAAAGTGGGGGGGCGGGACATGTCCCCAAGTTAACTGAAAGAGAAAAACAAGTGAGCCAGCCTATGGCTCAGCTGCATTCACGGCTGGGCCGCCTGCCTACATAACCAAATGAAACATGCCCATTCAAAGCTAATTCATCTTGAAGCGGACACTGTGGCACAGAAAGGAAGTGACTTACTCTGGGGTGGCACTTGAGGGCCTGGACAGCTGCTCCAATCTCCTGAATCCAGCTGCGCATGTCTTCGGGGCTGTCTGCCTGCAAAACATCCGCAACACTTAAACACATTTTTGGGGTGTGACTTCAGCTTCTAAGTCTCTGGCTCAAGTTCCTAAAATCACATCATCCCCAGGTCAGAGGGACCTTGGAAACCATGTAGTCCTGTGGCTTGCAGACTTTTGAGGACATTGTCCCGGCTGCAATCTCTCTCCATACCTTAATTAAAACTGCTCAAAGTGAAGTTGCCCTGAAGAGGAGGAGGGGTGAGGGTAGGGAACACCTAGTACCCCATCTTCTGTCTAAACCCATCACCCCACTTCCACCCCATCTGAAAAACAGCTGAGCCACTCCAGACTCCTAGTTTTTACCCCCAAAGGAAAATGGGGTTCAGAATGCCACAGCCCCAGGTCTGAGGCTGGTCTAGACCCCACTCTCATGTCTCATAATTCTGAACAGGAGACCCCCCCTCACCTACTCCCACTTCAAATTCCACCAAAGCAAACTCCCTCTGCAAACCCTCCAAGGTATGCACGACCGTGTGTGTTGTCAACAGAAACAGCGCCTTCCTCAAAGCACAAGAATCTGTCCCAAAAATTCACCCCAGCCTTGGAGTGAGCTAAGTCGAAGATCACAAGAGCAGAACCAAGTGAAGCATTTCTCTTCAATAGCCTCCTCACTCCAGAAGGGGGCAGCAGTCTCTCTATGGAAAGAGGAAGACAGGAGGCCTGGCCCCTGCAGGCCGAGCTGCTGGGCGCCTCCCAGCAGTAGGGAGGAAGAGTCTCAGAGGGCCCTATGTAATAGCTACCCAAGAGAGCTGGAAACAAGACTTAAGTTCCGCTCTCCTAGCACCTTCCCCTAACCATTCACCCAAACACAGAGCGTGTGTGTGTGTGTGTGTGTGTGTGTGTGTGTGTGTGCGCGCGCGCGTCTCCACAGGCTCCACTTGCTCCTCTTGCTTTTCCATACCCCAAACCACTCTTTGAATCCTACTGGGATAAAACGGACCACCTTGCTCTTCACGGGGTTTTGCATTTCATATTTTCTCTCACATTTGCCTTACCATCCCTCCCCATCACCCCCCAAACAGAGACCCTTGGTTCGCTGCCGCCACCTGCAGCACATGCCAACAAAGGCACCAGGTCAACAAGAAAGACAAAGGCCTGCTGTGTGCTGCTCTGACACCTGCCACCTGCTAATTTATTTATACTTGCCCCTCCCCATGATTCGGTCGGGCAACTTGGCAATCAATGTAGTAGCTCTCCAAGAAAAAGGAAAACACATCCCTGGTCCAAAGAGAGTAGCCTGAATTAGGTATACAAACTTTTCCTAGGATCAGGATGAGAGAGCACCCGGTCCCTAGACCTACAAGGAAGAACTAAGTAAGCTGTGAGGTTCTACTGTTTGAATAGCACCCAGGCTGTGAGGCCCTCTATGGATTAGTGATGGTTGCTATTTTTACTATTCTATGTAAGAGGAGAGCAAATAAACCTGAAATTCTACCATCATGGCCTAGCACGGTGACACACACCTTTAATCTCAGCACTCAGGAAGCAGAGACAGGTAGATATCTTCTAGTTCTAGTCCAGTCTCATCTACATAGGGATTTCCAGGCTAGCCAGGGATACAGCCATGAGACCATTATCTCCAAACAACAACAACAAAAAAATGTATTTTACCACTATAGATTTATTCAATGCCCTCATCCTGAGATACTTATCTTCGAATTACATGTAAATCCACCCCCAAAGGATCAAAGGATCAAAGGCTGGGCTGGGTCTCAGAGGTAGAGCACTTGCCTGGCACATGCAAAACTCTAGGTCCTAGAACCAGTAATGAGCCAACTTTTAAAAAGGATCAAACAGGATAACATTTGGTGGAGAAAAGGTTATTATGCATTTACTCCCCCCCCCCAAGCAGATATTGCAATTAATACTGTAAAAAACTGAAAATATATTTTATAAAATACCTTCAGTAGTTTTAACTACTATTTTATACTTTTATCCCCCAGTTCTTTTGATGGGAGGGATGAGGAGACAGCTCAGTGGGCAAGAGCAATGCTGTGCAAGCAAGAGGACCTGGGTTTGAATCCCCAGGGCCCATAGAAAAGCTGAGCATCTGCATATGCCCAGAATGCTAGTGTTGGGGGACAGACGAGTGGATTCCAGGGCCTCACTGGCCAGTCAGCCTAGGTGAAACACCAAGTTCCAGGTTCGGTGAGAAACTCGAAGTTGAGGACCTTGACAGACAGCTCGGCAGTTAAAAGCACTGGCTATTCAGTCAGAGGACCCAGATTTGATTCTCAGCACCCCCTCAGGGGGCTCACAACTGTCTGTCACTCCCGTTCTGCTTGATCCAACGCCCTCGTCTAGTCACCGTGGGCACCAGACACGAACATGGCACACAGGTGTACGTGTATGCGAAAAAAACATACTCCACAAAGAAAATTATTCAAAAATAAAGTAGAAATCATAGAGAAAGACATTGACGTCCTCCTCTGGCTTCTGCACACAAAGGCCCAGGCATGTGCCCCACATATACATGACTGCACACAACACAATATACCGCCATTTTAAAATATTATACAAATAAAACAATCAGGGTTGGAGAGAGGGCTCAGTGGTTAAGAGCACTGCCTGCTCTTCCAAAGGTCCTGAGTTCAGTTCCCAGCAACCACATGGTGGCTCACAACCATCTATAATGAGATCTGGTGCCCTCTTCTGGCCTGCAGGCATACATGCACACAGAATACTGAGAATACTGTATACATAATAAAAAAATCAAGTATTGCACTTGATTCCATTCAAGAAAGAAATATCATGAAGTCCATTCAGCCCAGGTGACCTACTAGGAAACCAAAAAGTGCCCGACACTGGGACGATAAGAAAGGGAGATGCCATATGTACCTTCCTCTCTCCCTGTCCTGCTCTTGTATGCATTATGGTCTCCAGCCTCGATGGCAGTTTATAAGAAGAGAGGCACAAACTTCCAAAATGAAATCCTTCACAAAACCCGTGGTTTTACTGTGGTCCAGGGAGCCTCTGTGCATCAGTTATGAGGTCAGCACTAACGGATGCAGTGAGCGATGGCAGACATCAATAACGGACATGCAACATTCGCCTCTGGTTACTGCCATCACCCCTAAATCTCCAGCTGGTCCCTCTTCCCTTGATTCCCAACTTCCTCCTTTCCCAATAGATGTCAAGACCCACAGGTTGAGAACCACTGTTGTGGGCGGTACCCTTCACCTTAGAGTCTAAGTTATGAAGTAACCACCCAAGAGTTCTGGCTCCACACCCTATGAGTCCCTTGTCACTCTTCTCAGTTGTCCTGGCACAGCAACCAAATTCCGACAGGTGAGCTAAAGACGATTTCAGAGTTTTCATTCTAGCAACAAACACTCCTGTTGATAAACTACAGGACCCCCAGGCCCTCTATGAATGGGAAACGCAGACATGGAGACCCCTGCTCTGTATTGCAAGGACTGGCAGTTGGATTCTGTTTGGAGAGTTGTTGGAGATTGACACCGGGACTTTCTGCATTCCAGGCAAGCACTAAACCACTGAGCAGCAGCCCAGCTTGGAAATCTCATCCTGGACCCTGGCCAGAGCTGAGAAATGTCTGCCTACTAACAAGACCAGTCCGGGGCCATTTCTGTCCATCTTGAAGCCTGATTGCTACCTGGATCTGTTCAACATCATCCAGCTTCCAACATTCCCAGTCACCCCAGGTTCTCAACCTGTGGGTCGTGACCCCCTTGGGGGCCGAATATCAGATATCCTGTATATCAGATATTTACATTACAATTAATAACTGTAGCAAAATTATAGTTAAGACATAGCAATAAATTAATTTTATGGTTGGGGGTCACCACAACATGAAAATTCTATTCAAAAGCCTCAGCATTAGGGATGTTGAGAACCACTGCCCTACAGCATAAATTTCAGACACAAGCAAGTCCTGAGTACCAAGTACTCTCAATCAGCTCCATAATTCCCTGAGTTTCTTTTTTTTATTTATTTATTTTTATTTTTTTTTTTTTTTGGTTTTTCGAGACAGGGTTTCTCTGTGGCTTTGGAGCCTGTCCTGGAACTAGCTCTGTAGACCAGGCTGGTCTCGAACTCACAGAGATCCGCCTACCTCTGCCTCCCGAGTGCTGGGATTAATCCCTGAGTTTCTGATCCTGAATGGATCATTTACCTTTGAAGCTCCTGTCTCCTCAGGGACAGATGGGAGATGAGACCCAGAGAGATTGTGGAGAATTATGTGATATACACTTCCGGCCAGCGCCTACTCAGCAGTGTCCCCTGAAACATCTAAGCCACAGCAGCTGCTTCTCATGAGTTGCACAGAGCGCTACAGCGTGAGAGGACAGAGGGAGCGCGGGTGGTGTAGCTGAGCCCAAACCCCTAGCATCCGAATGATGGGAACCCAGCCTCGGTCCTTCCCTGCCCAGAGCGCTCTCCTTGGCCTCACCCTGCTTGCTGGTCACAGCCCCAGACCGGACAGATGGACAGACGGTTCGTGCAAACATACTCCTCACGACTGAGGGATCAGGCCAGAAAGTGACTTGAGTGCAGGGCACCAGCCCTCTGGCCCCGCAGAACAAACTGTACAAGTGACAGAGTTCTCCCACAGTTCGCAAGAACTGCAGTGATTTTTATAAAACAAGAGGCCAACATAGAAACTACAAGTCCAATTTATCCAGAGGCAGGTATTCTGCAGACTTTATATCAAATGAGTCAGGGAGACAAGGAAATATCATCTCTTTTTGCCAACAACCAATATTGAGCTCTTAAAGCAAAACAGAATTCCAGAAAACTCCCCTCTAACAGCAGGAGCTCAGTATCCTCCCGTGTTCAAAGACTTCACTAATGCTACCAATAAATGTGACTCTTAGAATGTTACATAGTAACATATGTCAACACTTGGAGGATCTGCACTGTTTGGTCAGAGCAGTATTTTCAAAGTGATGTACAAACTCTGGGTAAAAAGCATCTACTTGAATGGTGACCAGCGATCTTAGTGATGCCTACGCAAATGTATTGATAAGGTTCCAGACTACACTGCACCTAAATATTAAGAAATCACTATCTTTCAAATTCTGGTAAGAAACAGACAAACAAGATACCTGAAATTATCTAAAAGGATACATTGAAATAATCCCTTTGTCTAAATACTTAATTTGCTTAAGGCCAGATCTTCAAATTCTTCAAAGTAATACAAGGTCACGTACAGCAGTGGGATTCTGAGCGGTGAAGTAGGGATTCTGAGCTAAGAGTGAAGTTCCTATTGTCTGCCATGAGTCACCCATGAAAGAGATGCAGAGAAGATGTGTAGGAAATCATCCTAGCCTTGCTATTTTCGGAACAGTTCTTTTCACAGGTATCTTTTTAATTTATCATGAGTTTATAGTTGTAACTTCTAAGTGAATCAACAAACATGTTTGTTGGTTTTCATCCATCCTTCTCTAACATGCCATTCTCTGTAAGTCAAGTGCTACATATGAATTTGACCTTCGCTCGTTTATGTATTCAGAGAGATGCTAGTGTCCTTCATTCTTAAAAGTTTAGAGAGCAAAAGGGAAGGAGTAGAGAAATGCTGAGAACATTGGGATATGCTGGTCCCTGTCCAGCAGATTTCCCTCTGTATAATCTACCAAACGTGTGATTTCAGTTGCTAGATTACTTAGCTTAAAGATCAGCTCAGTCTAATTCATGACCCCAGCACCTCAGACCATGCCCAGAGCCTTGGCCATACTCTACAAATATGAACTCTAGCACTAGAAACTCGTGTTAAAGTCCAGGCTAGTCCTGGTGTCTGAATGGTAGAGGTTCTGAAGAACAGCTAGATTCAAGAGCAAAGTGACCCCCCTCCATGGTCTAGTCTGTTCCCCAGCCTCCCTGCTGCCGTCTCTCCCTGGACAGGGTGCTTGTCCCATTGAGGATGGCCTGAAGATGCTTAAATCAGCCAGCATGGCTGCTGGCCTAAAGTGAAAAAAGTGTACACACACACACTCACACTCACATACACACTCAAGCGGGGGTTAGGCCTCATCCTTTTACGGGAGTGCTTCTGCGGGCAAAAGAAAAGAAAGGAAGTGGGAAACCTTCAAAACTCCACTTGGGAAGGCTGCCCACTTCACCGCTCAGAATCCCACATCGGCCTCACATTAGATATCAACACATTTTGTGGGCTCCTGGGTAGCCTAGGCTGACCACTTGGCCCTGGATGTCTTTGCCCTGCTTAGCAATCTGCCTTGTTAGCTGCTGTGAGTTCATACTGGATTGGGAGCACTCCAGATCTGGGGGTGGGGGAGCTCCTGGTAAGTGAACCCCATCAGAGCCCCAAACAATGGCTTTCTCTGTGCAGCTGGCTATGCACCTGTGCCCGCCACAGGGCCCTCTGTGCTTCTGTCTTTCTGCACACAGTAATGTTCATACACAGGCAGGACTTATAAATACCCTCCATAGCAGAAGTGAAACTACCCACCAGTTCCCCTTTTCTCTGCTTAGCTGGAGCTCCGCAGCCGAGAGCAGCTGCGGCAGGCACACATACCCTGGCACGGTTGATTGGCCTGTCTGTAGTATCCTAGCGTAGGGAAACTCCTCCTCAGAATGAAGAGGGACACAGACTGACTAAGGGACTGAACTGATCACTGAGAAACTACGAGCTAAATGAAGAGAAAACAGGGACAGGGGTGGGTGGGGGTGGCATTCACGCACATTCGCGGAGAAGGGATGCTGGTCTTGGGATGAGCATTTACCTGTACGTAGAATGTCCTGGAGGTGGTTATGATTTCAAACAGGTTGTCCCTCATTAAGAGATCGCTAGGCAGGGAAAGAGAAAGAACATTATATCAGGCATTGTGAGTACTTTCTTTTGTACGTCATTCCCTAAAGTTTTCACAATCACCCACTAATGCAACTCAAGGCTTTCTCCTCTCTGTGGGTAAGGAAGTCCAGGCTCAAAGACTTTAAATGCTATGTCCGTTCAAAGTACTAGAGATCACCACCCATTGAGTCCAAATATGCCTCTTCTAAGGGAGCCAATGCCATTTCTAAACCCTTCCTTCCCCCTGGGCTCCACCCACAGCTCTGAGTTCCTGCTCTTGGCCTCAATACACCCTCCCAGGGGACAAGGAGCTAAAGGCAGAAACAGAAATTAAGAGTAAAACGACTTTAATATTTGCTTCCCAGGAAGCTGTTCGGCATCCTTGGCCCTCAGAGAAATGCAAATTCAAATTATTTTGAGATTTCACCTCACCCCAGAATGACCCACAAGCAAGAAGATAAAAAATGCTGGCAAATGGGGAAAGGTGAACCCCTACTTACTAATGGGGTAAGTGTAGACTGGTACAGCCACTGTGGAAATCAGTTTGGAGGTTCCTCAAGAAAGTAGAAATAAAACAACCCTACGACCCCTCTAACCTACCCCTGATGTGTGCCAGACAGACTCTGAGTCCTACCGTGGAGAGACTTGCACACCCCCGGCAATCACCGGATCACTAACGATAGCATGGAGCACGGAAATGGTATCAACCTTGCCGTCCATCAGCCGATGGACGGTTCCCAGACACAACAGAGTGTGTTTGGTTGTAAAGCAAAAGAATGGGGGTGGATAGATGGCTGAGCAGTGAAGAGCACTCCCTGCTCTACCGGAGGAACTGAGCTCAGCTCATAGCATCCACATCAGGAGGCTCACAACCACCTCCTGTACCTCCCATTCCAGGGGATCTGACATTCTCTTCTGGCCTACCCAGGTGCCTGCACATAGGTGGCACACACTCACACAGATAGCCTAGCTCCGCATGAATAATAAAAGGCAAAAATAATTTTAAAAAGAGGGAGATGGTCATGGAATTTGCAGAGAAGCAGATGGAACTGGAAATTATTATATTAAGCAAAGTAATTCAGACTGAGAAAGGCTGTGCCATGTTTTCTCTCACAGCTGGATCCTAGACTTTCGTTTTTGCACATGTGTAAATTTACATGTGAGGGCAAGTACCACGCTGTGAAACTCCACAGAAGTTGGCAAGATGGCTCAAGGGGGGATGGAACTTGCCACCTACCAAGTCTAAGAAGGCAGAAGGAGAGAAGCAACTCCTACACGTTGCCTTTGGGCCTCTGCATGCACATGTGTGTGCATGCATCCACACATGATTCAACGGGCAAACAATGTGTGAAACAACTTTTTTTTTAAGACAGGGAACCATGAAGGGAGAAACAAAGAGGTTGTGAGAGGTGGAGCAGAATAGGGATGACCGGGGGTCAAAGAACCAACATGGAGAGTGGGAGAAGAGGAGGATGGTGGACAAGGAACAACCAAAACAAAGCATTATGAAAATGACATGTTGCAACCTATTCCTTTGTACGCTTGTATAAAATAAATTTAAAAATTAGTTTCCTTCATTGGAAAAACAAAAAAAAAAAGACCTGTGTCTGCAGATAGGGTATAATTTAGTGGGGGTACACCCGGTACCAGATAAACAAATAATAATAAGCTTCAGAGAGAGACACAGAGAGAGGGCATGAACTTGACGGAGATCAGGGAGGGAAATGTGGAAGGGTTTGGGAGAATAAAAGGGAAGGAAGAATTATTGGGATCAAATTGCAGTCTCGAAAAGAAAGGAACAACAAGCTTCAAACGGGACGCGGGTTTTGGCAGAGGAGTCCGACTCCTGCCAAGCAGAGGGCAGGCGGTGACGACACAACCCTGAACTGGCTGGAGTTGCTGTCTATGTTCACTGCCTGCCGTGTGCATCCAGTTGCTATGGGGACCGGATGAGGAACAGAGACGTAAGTGCTACCAGCAAAAGCACCTGAGGAGGCAAGGCCAGATGCAGGTAAGACTGCATTCCAGGTTAGCAAAGAGCCTCACAGGCAGAAAACGTCTTCCGGAATGAAAGCACACACGTGAAACGGCCAGTGACAAGTCTCCCAGGCAGAGCCGGGGACATGACTTAAGACGAGGTAGGGCGCATGGGCCTGTGAGAGAAAGTCTTGCGGACATGGACTATAAATGTTGTCAGACCTTCCGTGAGAAGTGAAAACAAAAAGATGCTTAATGATCGTCATCAAAGTCACAGGTGGTGGCGCACGCCTTTAATCTCAGCACTCGGGAGGCAGAGGCAGGCGGATCTCTGTGAGTTCGAGACCAGTCTGGTCTACAAGAGCTAGTTCCAGGACAGGCTCCAAAGCCACAGAAAAACCCTGTCTTGAAACACCAAAAAAAAAAAAAAAAAAAAATTTCAAAGTCACAGCTCGAACTGCACGGACCACTTGAAATACATCCCACCAACTAGCACTCCTACTTCCTGAACTGCTGCATAGGGACAGCTCTCTAAGAAGATGCCTCCGTAAGACCAGGCTATAGGAAAGCCTGTAAGTGCATTTTCTTAATTAGTGACTGATGTGGAAGGGCCCAGCCCACTGTGGGTGGTTCCATCGCTGGGCAGGCAGTCCTAGGTCTGTAAGACAGCAGACTGAGCAAGCCATGTGAGCAAGCCAGTAAACAGCACCCTCCACGGCCTCTGCATCAGGTCTTGACTCCATGTACCTGCCCTCTGATGCCCTTTGATGATGACCAGCGACGTGGAAGTGTAAGCCAAATAAACCCTTTCCTCCCTAGCTTGCGTTTTAGTGCTTTGAAGCAGCAACAGAAAGCCTAACTCAGATGGGGTTAAATGTTTAACCTTCTAGCTTCTTCACGCAGATGTGGTTAAGTCCTGCAGCCCACTGAGAAGCAGGATGGGAGCTCCGCCCCTTTCACACCCACTGCCCAGGCTGCATGCTGCTTTCAGTTCAGTTCGATTCATTTCGACAGCAACCATTGATTACAGCTGTCCCGAATTCCCCCAATGGTCCCAGAGAGGCTCCACCATCTGACAGAGTTGAGGCCACGAAGCCACAGCCTTCCCTGTGGACTTCACCTCCCTGACTCAGTATGACTCAGGCAGACTTAGAGGTAGGGTGTTTTCAAGACTCTCAGGCTGAACCCTAGCCTAGCTCTCTAAGCTGGGCAAGCATGTCCTAGTCACCCCATAGGCTGCTCATAGATCTACCCAGGCCCTCCAGGATCAGGAGCAATCAATGATCTCTCATGACCCAGTCATGCTGACTTCTGCCCTCTGGAGTCACACTCGGGGCAATGTCTAACTATAGCTACTTCCGCAAATTGCAAATTCTCCCTGGGTGCCTCCCTGGTCTTCTGTAGCCTACAGCTGCTATTGGAAAAACTTAGTACAACATTTCTGCGTCTGCTTCTTTGGATCAGACAGCATGTGTGTTTATGTAGGATGGTGCCGTGCTTTCACAGGACAGCAGAATGCTTACCGCTGTAGGCCTCAGGGCCTACAGGGGGGAGAGATTCAAGCACAGTCTGGACAGACTACAGACTCATGGCCAAAATGATGGGTTTGGGCTCTATTAAGGTTCACTTGTCCACGAGTATTTGGGGCTGGGTATGGGACACTGTCTTGTCAAGTCCTGAATCACCTCACGCACCATGTACTCAGAAGGGATGTTTCCTAGAGGAAAGAAGAACAAATAAAAATACCTGTTCCGCCAATGGTAGTAACTTAAGGGTGTTGGAGCCTCAAGAACAAAGGACAAACGTCAGGCGGTGGTGGCGCAAGCCTTTAACCCTAGCACTCGGGAGGCAGAGGCAGGCGGTTCTCTGAGTTTGAGGCCTGTCTATTCTACAGAGGAGTTCCGGGACAGCCCGGACTACACAGAGAAACCCTGACTTAAGAAAGCAAGAACAAGGGAGGATAGGCCTGAGAACTTCAGACAAGGGCGAGTGTGCCAGGCCCCCAGCTGAGCCCCCAGACCCTGAGACCAAGGACCTGAAATCTGACTGACACCTGAGAAATGTCTAAGTGTTGCTCTCTGCTGCCACAAGAAGTAACCACGTAGGCTCATCTTGGGAGCAAGAGTAGGGGAAGGGAAGAGGGCACTTGGCCCAGGGTAATCTCAACCCTGCGTCAGTTCTGATGCGCCCAGGCAACCACAAGGGTACGACTCTTAAACAGAGCCTGAAAGGGGTAATAAATGGAGATTTAGAAAAGACAGAGGCTTTGCTCAGAATGAATAAGAAGGGGCTGGAGAGATGGCTCAGTAGTTAAGACCACTGGCTGCTCTTCCAGAGGACCCAGGTTCAATTCCCAGAGGCTCACATCTGTCCATTAACTCCAATTCCAGAGGATCCAACTTCCTCACACAGACAAGCATGCAGGTAAAATACCATAAGAGAGAGAGAGAGAGAGAGATTTAATGAAGAAGAAGCAGTTACCCAGACTTGACGAGACACTCGTGAGTCTTGAGAACGTCCTTGAGCAGTATAGTACGCAGGGGCTCTCTGTCCTGGTTGGAAGAATGGAAGGCAGACTAGTGAGGCTATGTATACGGCCCAGTGAGCCACACCAGCTCACCAATGTCCCTTTCTCAGAGTCTTGGCTAAAACCAACCTGGGTTTCAAAATAATCATTAAGGGGGAGAAATCTAAGCAGCAGCTGCTCTGTGGCCCCGCCCCCACAGCAGCCCACTGTGCAGGGGCTGGCAGCAGCCCAGGTCCTTTTAATAGCACCATAAAGAGACACAGGTTGGACAGAGATAAGACAAAGAGGTGCCTTGGAAGTCTACGTGGGCCTGGTCTCCGCTCAGGCACACTGTCTGCTTCTGCGATCAACCTACCACCCACCTGCTCACACTTGAAGTAGCAGATGGTAAAGTCATCGAGGGCAAAGAAGCGTCGTTTCCAACTCTTCCGCTGAAAAGCAAAAGAAGGAGCCAAACATTAAGGACAGGTCTCTGGCGCCAGGACTGGTCACAGTCACAATAAACGCCCAGGGATCCGGCAGCGTGGAAGCCAGGCTCTCATCTCCATCAGAACAGGCACCAGGAATAATGGGAAGTGTAAGGGCGGTGAAAAGCCCTGGCGTCCATCGGGACCCCGCCTTCCCAAGACCAAGCACCTAACTTTAATGCCGGAGGAGGACACCACTGTCATTCTCTGCTGCCACCAGAAGCTATCCCTGTGCTGGCTAGTTTCCCATCAACTCGAAACAAGCCGGAGTCATCGGAGAGGAGGGAACCTCAATTAAGAAAATGCCTTCATAAAAGTGGGCTGTGGCAAGCCACAGCTGAGAAAATGCCTTCATCAGATCCGGCTCTAGGGCATTTTTTTAATTAGAGATCAATGGGGGAGGGTCCAGCCCATTGTGGGTGGGCTTATCCCTGGGCAGGTGGTCCTGGTTTCTGTAAGGAGCAAACTTGAGCAAGCCATGGGAAAGCGAGCAGTAAGCGGTGTTCCTCCATGGCCTCTGCTCCAGTTCCTGCCTCCAGGTTCCTGCCCTGCTTGAGTTCCTGTCCTGACTTCCTTCAGAGATGAACAGTGCTGGGAAAGAATAAGCCAGATAAACCCTTTCCTTCCCAGCTTGCCTTTTGGTCATGGTGTTTCAGCTCAGCAATACAAACCGAGACCAAGACAACTATGAGGACTCATTCTCTGAGGAGAAGGAGCAGGGAAATGGGAGGAGGGAAATTTGCCTACCAGTCTGAAGGCCTTGAGCTTTCTGGGAGGGGCTAATGGCTAGTTCCCAATGGTGGTTAGTATAGAGGGGTACAGTTCCTCCTCTCACTGTCCTCTGCTGGCCCCAGGGTAGCCCCTGTGTTGGCACTCACCACGTTTCCTTGCTTCACACAGTAGCCACTCTTAATGAGGGGAGGCCCAGTGGGAGGACGGCAGCCTGATGTGGGGATGTAGCTCTGAGACCTCCGCAGGAAGGCATGAGACCCTGGCTCACTCCCTTCCTGCCCATCCCCACCATTCTACAAGGAAACAGTGTTACTGTTAATGCTCGGTTGCTCCTCTGGGCAGCCCCAGCTCCTCCCAGTCTTCCCACCACACCTCTAGCCTTTCTGATAGTATGTCAGTCAAAGAAATAAAAGCTGACTTTGCTCCCCATCAGGTAAGCCACTGAATGTTTTCATAAAGCAAGACCCTGGCTAGAGACCCAGAAGAGGGAGGCAGACAGTGAAGAACAGAAGAGGGCACAAGTCCCCAGGGTCTGGTCTCACTCCCCGCCTCACCAAATTTTACAAGTGTTTGTTGCCTGGGTCTTAAGGAGAACTACACAGACCGCACATCCTCAAGATATCATGATGTCATAGCCTCAACTTCTACATTGGCACTGGCCACACCCACCCTGCACTGTATTTTCGTGGTCACCCCCTCTCCACTAGCTTCCCCGCATCCTGTTGCTAAGTGCTGGGCACGATGGACATCTCTCTACCGCCCCCAGCCGCCCCAAGCCACGGCACCTGGCTGATGGGTGTTTGGACCACTACTCCTCCGATGATCTCAGTCTTGTAGGCCACCTGTGGCTTCTTGTCTAGGGTGGGAGGAGCTGTGAGGCTTCTGAGAACTTCAGTGGCCAAGGGTAGGGTCCCAGCCTTGGGTACCTGGAGAGAACAGTGATAAGGTCAGCAAGAAATGGGGAGTTTAGGAGAAGGGCAGGACCACAAACAGGATGTGGGGGAAAGGAAAAGCTAATTTACTAAATGATGGTGAGAACACTCTCCTCTTCCCTTCCAGTTCTTCCATGGACATTCATATCCAAATATGAGGAACTCAGCCAACCCTTTACACACATAGATACACACACACACACACACACACACACACACACACAGAAAACTTACGCCATACCTATAGGATGAGCTAACCCTGATTAAAAAGCAAAGATCAAACACTAGATAGTAGAGACATAAGCTCTATCCTCTTGGCACTGAAATGCTAGTAGTTAAGAGTGAATAAAAAGTTCCCAGCAAAACAAGAGTCAGAATACTATAAATGAGCAGGACATGGTAGAATGTGTACACGAATACATCCATCCATACAAACACACACACATACCTTCTGCCACCACCTCTCCAAAACAATCCAGCATCCACCCTTCTTCTGTCCCTCAGGTGGCCTGCATGTAGCAGTCCTTACATCATGGCCCAACCAGTGCCAAGGGAAGTGCCCAGCGTGCGGCTGCCCCCTCTTAGCCCAGGACCATGATTGTCTCAGTTTTATCCACAAGGGAAGCTCCGATCGTCAGAGCTGTGCCCTTTACTCCTAGGATCCTAACTATCACTGTCCCCTCAAGCCACCCACGTTAATGTCCTGCAAGTGACCAAGGTAGCATCCCATGCCCGCAGCTCAGAGACAGCACACAGCAAGACCCTTCCTCTGCTAGCCTGGCCTCGCGCTCCCTTGATGCGGGTTCATCAAGGTTTACCAGAATAGTAAACAGCCGCCAGGCTGCTTACATGGCTAAATTTTACCCCTCTTGGGTCCAGCTGGACAGACATAGAGATTTCATCCACTAATACCCATGGAAACTCTAAGGTATCTGGAAGAAAAATTTGGCCCCAGCAATGGGCATTTTTATTTGAAATCATTGGAAGACCAATATTTCTGACTGCCTATGCCGGCTACTCTTATTTGAACTTGACACAAGCTAAAGTCATCAGAGAGGAGGGAACCTCGATGAAGAAAATGCCTCCAGAAGATCCAGATGTAAAACATTTTCTTGGTGATTGATGGGGAAGGGTCCAGCCCATTGTGGATGAGACCGTCCCTGGGATAGTAGTCCTGGATTCTATAAGAAAGCAGGCTAAACAAGCCATGAGGAACAAGCCAGGAAGCAACACCCTTCCACGGCCTCTGCATCAGCTCCTGCCTCCAGGCTCCAGCTCGATCTGAGTTCCTCTCCTGACTTCCCTCAGTGATGAACCTTGATGTGGAAGTGTAAGTCCAATGAAACCTTTCCTCCCCAGATTGTTTTTGATCACGGTGTTTCATCACAGCAAAAAAAAAAAAAAAAAAAAAAACAAAAACCCTAAGACAGGGTACAGTGCAGACTTTCTAAGTTTTCAGCAAACTGTGAACGACTGGGCTCTGCCTGACTGGCTGCATTGCATTTCGCTGGTCGTTCTTTCTTTCCTCAGAGATGTTTTTGCTAAGGTCACTAAATATTCCCCCAGTTAGATGTTGGGTTCCCAGCCCGTGGCACTACTGGGAAGCAGTGGAACTTTCCAGAGATGGGACAGAGTGGGAAAAGTTAGGACATTGGGCATATGCCCTTCATGGGGATAGTGGGACCCCAGCTCCTTCTTGCTTTGTTCTCTGCTTCCCAACTTCTAGGAGATGAACACTCTCCTATGTCACATGCCTCGGTAGCTTGCCTGATCACAGGCCCAGACTAGCAGGAAAAAGCCCCATGATCTGCAAGAGCACGCACCATGATTGTAGATCATGTAGTTCACCTCGCCTTAGTACCAGATTATCTCAAGCATGTTGTCAGCATGCTGGGAAACTAACCTATCTCTCCCCTTCTCTCCTTCCCTCTAACACTTCTCTGTTTCATTTTTTTAAAGAGATTTCTAAGGACTAGGAAATAATTTCTTTATTAGCCAAGACAAGAGTACTTAATACAGCCCATGATCAAGCTTCAAAGTTAGCAAAGCTTTTAACTGGAAGACTTGTCCAGATCCAACAAAGACGAATATCCCCCAAACTAGAAAAAACAAACAAACAGATGGAAGTTCCTTCTCATATGCTGTCCCTGTTCCTCGACTTCCCATAGTCAGCAACCCTTCTCCAGCACAGCACTGAGTCAGCATCCCATAATTACCCAGAACATGACTGATAGGAGCCCCTCCCAGGAAGCACAAAGGGGACGGGACATTCCATAAACTTCCCCTTGAACTTGATGCAAACTCACACACTCAAGTTAACCTGTAGTTGTCAGCCAACGGGCAAGAGGAGGTTAGAGAGAGCCGAGAGAGCCGGGTCTGCCCAGTCTCGGGGGCAAGTCCCTGCTGCCTTCTAAGTCCTGTCCCTACCCCACTGAGGCCAAACACTGGGACACGCCACTTTCACTACCAGAAAGAACAAAAAGCATACATACAGTGATCTTGCTGGCTTGGTTCAAAGCTTCAACCCAGTCCTTCAGATCTTTCTGGTCATTGGCTTGAAGAAAGTATCTCTGAGACAGGGCATTGATAACTGTAAGAGTAATGGGGAAGGAGAGAAAGGGTTTAGGGTCAGAATTCACAGACCACAGGGCCCAGGAAGTTAGGGTGTCTGAGGTGGCAAGAGCCATAAGGGCCATTCAGCAGATCCAGAAACTGCCCACTGTGTTTTCAGAGACAGCCAATCGCAGCAACTCATCATCATCATCTCCCATCAGCCACCAGAACAACACTGGCATTTAGAGTAGCCTCCTGTGTTATTGGTAGCCACAGGCTACTCGTCTGCCTCCAGTAAGACACTCATGAAGCTCTGCACATCCGTGATGCAGGCTACAGGCCTGCTGGCGGGCTAAGCTGGGAGCCTAGAGCTTGCTTCTGCTAGAACATTGTCTATGCCTGGGAAACGGAGGAAGGCTTGCTGGAGATCGGGTCTGTGAGCTTGGCCTTGTTTTCAACCTGTTCTTCCCTCTGAGCATTTCCTTAGTCAACAGCTTACCTCTGAATTTATTATTATTATTATTACTATTATTAATGTATTATTAGATGAGCATATTACAAAATCTAAGAATGATTTCTGAACCTAGCAATGATATTTGAAAGAAATAGGAGAAAGAGAGCACCAATGTGGAGTCAGAAGAAGGGGGTTACTTCATCCCTCTACCATGAGTATGAAGTCAAGAAGCCATTGCAGAGGAGACAAAGGATCCTCTGCTTCATTCACATAACAAATATTTATTGAGTGTCCTCTACATGCCTGCAGCCATTCTATGTGCTGAGAACATGCAGGGACAGAGCAAGATGGGGCTTCACCCCCCTGAAGCTTATGTCCAGAGCCTCCCTGGACACAGAAATGCCTCAGCTCTGCTCATGACGAGGGCTAGTTAACAATTCAGCAACCGAGTCACCGAACTCACCGAAGGTAGAGAAACCTGCAGCACTGATGGTGGGGCTCTGCTTCCGGTGCCACTAACGCCCCTCCCCCAGCTGCCTGCCACTCATCTGGCAACCTTGAGACCCTCGACATTCCTTCCTTCATTCTCACTCCTCTTCTCCCCTCTCTCAGATCTGCTCATTTCCTACAGCACCGCTCAGCTCTACAGTGGCAGCTTCCCAGAAGCTTCCATAAGATGTTTTCTCTCCACCTCGTGGCATCACAAATAGTGAAACACAACTGATAGCTTAGCCGGTAATCCCAGCACTTTGGAGTCTGGGTGCTGCAGAAACGAAGTTCCAGGCCAGCTTGGGCATGGAGCAGGGGGTGGAGGTGGGGCGGGAGGCAGACAGTGAGCAGAGGCCAACCTAGCTAAAACGTGGCTGGTCCCTGTGTGCCTGGCCACAGTTATTAATAATTTTGCAGTGGTATTACTTGGCATCCAGAACATCACTATTATCTAAGCCGCTCCTACACCCAGGATACAGTTCCCATGGTACCACAGGGCTCTCTTCCATGGAAAAGAAGTTGTCACACATCTGTGGAGAAAACCCACCGTGGCTCAATACTTACCAAAGCAGAATGGAGTTTTCGGTTTCTGCTTTGGGGTAGCTATGCTCACCTATATCAAATAAAGACAAAAGAGACATGAATGGGTTTCCAACAGCATGAAAAAAAATGTTGACTTTGAAAATATTCACACATAAAAAGAACACATCAAGGGTACATCAAATTTGAGAGTTTTAACCTCAATTCCTTAAGAAACTGGCTTTATCAGTCCTACTTCTTCAAACAATGGTTCGACCTTCCTGATGCTGAGACCCTTGAATACAGTTCCTCATGTTGTGGTGACCCCCCCTTGGCCATAAAACTATTTCATTGCTACTACATAACTGTAAATTTGCTGCTGTTATGAATTGTAATGTAAATATCTGATGCCCGAAGTGTTGAGTACCAGGGACCGCGATTGCCTTCCAAACTCATCATACTCCTTCCATGACGGAATCTCTACCACCCACGCCCACATAACTACTATCTTGATGCCTGGGTTAAGTTTTGTCTCTGCAAAAGAGAACTTTAAAAGCCACCGGGTTGGGACAAGAATCTCTCTCTGAGCCAAAAGATCTAGCAGAGCACCATTCATACCAGCAGGCCTCTGCCGTGCTTTCAAGAACTAATCCCCTTTCCCTAAACAGTCTCCCAACTGAAAGTGGTTATTTCTTTGGCCATACAAACTCAGGTCAAAGCAGAAAGGGGGGTGAGAACGTGGCAAGCGTTTAGATATGCTGTCCAAAGGCCTGGTTATCTATGCTGGCCATGAACATGGGCAACTCTCCAACAACCGAGAGAGCGGCTGCCAGATGAGTATGCTCACCTGGGCATATTCAAGAGCAGGGCCTGGGAGATGGGGACACTGGTGTGCTTCATCTAGCTTTTGCTGTGTATCTGCACAGGAGCCCACATCACTCGGGCTCATGTTCCATCACAGCCTACAATGATTTGATGACTATCCTACATGCTGGTCCAGCCACATTGGAGCACTCCACACATCTGCCTGGTGAGGCAGCACCTACCGTGGATCCTAGCCACAGAGAGCCACCATCTTGCCTTAGACACTGTTCTGAGTCCCCTTTCTAGCTGTCCTAGGTCTTCTTGGTCTCCACTCAGGACTCTGGGACTTGGAATTGGAAACAGGAATTAAAGTCTTGAGGAGAAAGTGATGTCTCCTTGTGGCTCGCACCTGCTAAAGATCTCACGTTGCCTGCCACACCGGTCTCTAGGCTATTGCTGCTCTTGACCGTAAAGACTTCCTAGAGACCTGCCTTGCTTCCTTAGCCAAAATTAACATTGTTCCAAAGGCTCAACCAGGAGCTGAGGTGTCACCCTCCAAAATATCAAAAGCAGAGGCTGACATTGGAGTCAGACTCAGATCACAGGCGTGTGACCTCTGTGACATGGTCTGTCAAGAGAAGAGTCAAAGTCGTGCCCCCATGGAGTTAACGTGAGCCTTGAATGTGGCAGTACAAGCAAGGGACTTGGCTGCACTACCGTATAGACTCTGCTCATCAAAGAGGGACTGTTATTCCGGGCAAGGCAGCACACGTCTGTCATCCCAGCACTCACAAGGCTGAGACAAAAAGATCTTGGCTTTCAGGCCAGCCTAGGCTACATAGAAAGTTTCAGGCTAGCCTGGGCTACATGAGTGGACCACGTGTACATGAGTGGACATTTTAAAACAAATCATACACCAATGCACACACATGTGCACATGCATACACACAATAAGAATAATAACAGCAATAAGAATAATAATTTAAAATGGGGCCTGAAAAAACTGCTTAGCCTCCGACATTTAAAAAAAAAAGCATGGCATTTTCAAAGTCAATAATCAAATGCCTACATAACATTACATCATCCTCAATGGCAGGTATTTAAAGCACACGAGAAGTCACATGACCCCTGTTTCTGAAGGCGCAAGGATAAAGGACTGCTTCTGTCAGTCCTAGCAGAATGCCAAGGCTTCACAGGGCACCAGCAGGGAGAGTCAGAGAGTCTGCCCATGTGTGTATGTCAACCCCCATGCTGATGAGGGAACCCTGAGGTGGAGGCCCTATGGCCTAAGAAAGTCTTGAAGAACAAGAAGGGGAGCCCACAAATCTGAGCTCAGTCAGACTGACTACCAGAGGTGGTCATGTCTGCATACTTCACAGGTAGCGCTCAGGGGGTTGTCAGTCCTGTTCCTGAGCCACCTCATTTTCCTGAGGTTTAGCCCAAGCCAGTTGCTGAGCTACAAGCCACTCGCTTCCTGGTTGTGGCCTTCAGTGTCTGTGTTCCCCAGGCAGCCTCCTGCCATCTGCCTGTGCTGCGCCAGGTTCCTGCCTTAACTCCCCCCCCCCCCCCCTCCGGTGGCACAGACTTGTGTTCTGTCCCCTCGGCTCCCTTCTCATCCAGCTGGCAATTTAGGTTGAATGGAAAAGCTTGTCCCAGAGATCCTCTCTCCCTGTATTTACCACCGACTGGACAGAGCACTACGGGCTGACCCTTTCACCCTACATGGATTTCCAATGAGCCTGCTCCTGGCGCTGATTAGTCAGCCCGGGAAAATGCTGCCCATGCAGTTACCGTGAGACCCGAAGCTTCCAAAGAAATACATGGCTTTCTGCTTGTTCTTCTCATTGGATGCACTTGAGAGGAAGGCTGCATGCACGCACGTTCACAGCGTGCCTCAGGCCCATGGTTTAGCATGGAAGTATTGTTGGGTAAAGTAACTCATTGACAGACTCGTGGGATTGGTCCCCGTTCTGTCCTGAGTGGCCATGGGACAGGGACAGGGTTGAGAGCCTCCCCAGACCAGTTTAGTAAGGACAGTACCGCTCTTCTCACAGAACAGGAAGTGGGTTTGCCCACCTGTGGCTGTGTCCACAGAGAGGGGCTGCTTGGAACTCTGGCTTCTGCCTCTCTCCCCGACAGCCTGTCCCCCGAGGTCTGAATGGCCCCCATCGACCTGCCACCTGTTGGCGACTGTGCCAGGCGGCAGCAGCCATCTTCAAACACAGGAAGAGAAGAACAGAGGTCCAGCAGGAAGCAGTGTGGCCACAGGTGGGTGAGGCCATGCAGCAGTCTGACTCAGGCAAGAGCACCCAGCCAGGCACAAACATCCCCACACCACACGGTGGCCACAACTGAGTCACTGCCCAACAGTGGTTTACTGCCAGGTCCTGCGAGCATGCCAACGGCCAGAGCAGGTTGGGATGTGGAGGAAAGAGTACCCCTACCCCACCCCCAAGGAGTGACGCAGAAGAGCTGCCTGGACTCTGGACAATCCCTGGAGCTTTCGCTTATCAGATCAAAGAGAGACCTCAGAGGGACGCTGTGAGGGCCAGCCACACCCTGTCTGCCATTCACAGGAAGTGGAACTGGGGCCCCTCCGACAGAAGAGACCAGAGCAGAACGAAGCCTTGGAGAACTCAAGAGTTCCTCCGGTAGTGTCTGGGGAGCCTTGTCCCTCAAGGGGGCACTAAGAGCAGTTAAGCAAGAAGTCACTGACAAAGTCAGAGGACTTTCAAGTTGTTACGAACGTAGGCACGTTTATCTGGAATATGAATAATACTCTTCACTTAACTCTCTAGTACCGTGCCCTTCCTAACTCTGTGACCTTTTAATACTGTGGTGATCCCCCCAACCATAAAATTATTTTCGTTGCCACTTCATAACTGTAATTTTGCTACCGTTATGAATCATAATGTAAATATATGTGTTTTCCGTTGGTCTTAAGTGACCTCTGTGAAAGGGTCATTTGACCCTCAAAGGGGTCGCGAACCACAGGTTGAGAAGCACTGCTCTAGCATATCCACACACGAATAGTTAATAACCCACATTTTAGGAAGGCCTGTCATCTATCAGAAGCCCTGACAAAAGTCCAGCCTGAGCAGTACTGGGGCTGGCGGTGTGGATATCTGCACCAGGAGAGAAGGGTTACAATGCAGAAGTAGCATCATGGGCCAAAGACTGGTTCCATCTCTAGATTGCCTCTCTGGAGGACAGGACACCCGCCAACTCCCCCCACCCTATCCCCTACCCACCCCCATCCCCGCATGCCAGCACCCAGCAGCACCAGGACCTAGGTATGTGTTCTGGCAATCAGCTGGAGCTAAGGCACTCAGCGATCTGCAACCTAACCCAGTGGCCATTGTGGGTTTTTCAAAGACCCCCAGCATGCTTGGCTATCTCTGGAAGGGCGAAAAGTCAGGTCACTCCTTCTGAAGGAGACAGCCAACACGGCCGACCAAAAACACAGAAAGCCTCCTCTGGGCTGCGCTCATAAATCATGATTCAGCAGGAGATTGTATCCTCTCTTCCCTGGCCAAGAAAAAAAAAGAACTCTTCCCAAACCCTCACCCAGGAGAGATGGTTTCAGTGTTCATTTTTGACAGGGTTCTTTGCTCCCCCATCTCAATTCTCTTCCTGGAGAAATGACCTAATGCGCTCACGGCAGAAGAGAAGAAAGGGCCCCTGGGGGAAGGGGGTGGGGAGAGGGAGGGAGGGAGGGAGGGCTGTGCTGCCCTGGCCTGGGGAGGCGGCCACATTTCTTATCAAAAGGCATGCACAAATTGCCTGCAGCTGTGCTAGGGAAGCTGCACTTTAACCGTGGCTCATCCCCTGAGGCCATTATCCTCCTCCCTAATCAGCTCAGCCCCTGCCCAGCAGCTTCTGCTTCGCTGAGACGTCTCTGCCAGGTTCTGTCTGCAGCTGGCAGGCATGGGACAAGCCTGCCTGCCGGTCCAGCCGAAGATGGCCACTCCTCTCAGGAGTCTCTGGGTCCATCTCTTTTTAAGCATCTCCCTTGGGAGCTTCCCACAGAGCTCCTTGAATCTGTTACCAGCTGGAGCTGGGAGCTGCTTAGCTCAAACCCCAGCCCCTAAGTCCTCAAAGTCCCTAGGGTGGGAGAAGCCAGGGAAGAAAGCAGCAGCCCCTCTGAGAACTCTAGTGGGGGATGGGACTTTGGCAGCTTTGGAGCTGGCTGGATGCCACCTGGCTCTTTCCTCCTGCTTTCAGGAGATAATCTAATTCCCCTGGCTTCTTTCTTTCTTTCTTTCTTTCTTTCTTTCTATTTTTTTTTTTAAATCAGGGCCACATCATGGGTCAGCGGCAGTGGCTGCCCCAGGGAGGAGCTGCTAAAGCCAGCTGAATTCAGCAGTTCTTTGTGGGCACCATGAACCGGCCCTACCCCGGTCTCAGAGGCCAACAGGTGTTGTTCTTACCCCTAAGGGCATGTTGAATGAAAGCTCAGACTACCAGCTGCCTGCCATACTCTCTAGAAGGTACCCAGATGCTGAAAGTGGTCCTGGCATATCTTAGGGCCTTCTGGGAAGGGACGGGGGTTCTCAACCCTCCCTCCACAAGCATTCTGTCTGGAGAACTGGTAAAATTCCAGGGGGCCTGAGCCATTTCCAATCCCCTGCTCACTAACTGCACACTTGGAGGGAATCTTTTACAGGATCAAGGTCATTGTCCTGGTGTCCTTTTGTCCCAGTTACAAAAAAGGTGACACCGTACATAGTGCTTTATTTTGGATGTGAAATGCCTCCAAAAGGCCAGTGGTAACACCTGGAACTTTTAGAAGGTAGGGCACATGGAAGGTCCTTAAGTGATTAGGGATACCCTCAAGACACATGAGAGGTGCCCAGTCCCTCTATAATTTGCTTCCTAGCCATGAGGTCAGAAGTAGGGCCCCATTCTGCCATAAGGTACTGCCTCACATGAACCCCACAATCATGACTAAGTCCTCAAACACAGTGGCTCAAAGTAAACTTTTCTCTTTGTAGATCATGTCAAATATTCCTGGACATATAGGACAGGAGAGATGTCCTATAGGTCTGGAGAGATGACAAACAGGCACATCCAAAGAGCGGGTCACCCTCCCCACTGCCAGCCAAGCACCATGGAAGTCAGCAGACCTTCCACAGGCAATGCCTGGGAAAGAGAAACACGGTAACGGACATGAACGCCCCCAAAGGCCCACACCTCCAGGACGTGGAACTCCCCTCTCGCTTAGACTCCAGCACACCAAACCAACCTTACCTTCGAGATATAAGTCAGCTGCAGAGATCCAACAGCTCCTGCCCCAACCGCCAGGTTCTGAAAGACAAAGGTGTTTGCTTAAGATGCGAGGGCCCCCAAAGCGGCAGTACAAGACAGACCAGTGTCTAGTTCAGTCTGTGCCACTCAGCCTCTGGTTAGGCACTGTCCCCACCTGCAAGGCACTGGCGACAATCCCTGAATAACAGATTTTCTGGAGGAAAACGGTAGCATTAACAGTACCCACATCCCATGCAAGTTAGTCTAGGACAACAGTTAGACGGGGTGCTTCGCCATGTGACTGCAAAGTCTCTTAACTAGCCTCAGGTCCCCTGCTGTAAAAACAGAGGCAATCTCTTATGGGGCTCCTAACAGTGGGAATGAGGGCTGTCTCTGACTCTTTTACTGGCTTTTGGGACTGACTTTTCATACTGGGTCACCTCGTCCAGCCTTAACACATGGGGAGGCTCAATCTTACTGCATGTTTTATTGATACTCATAGGAAACCTGCCCTTTTCTAGATGGAGATAGAAGAGGAGGGGATAGGAGGTGGGAGAATAGGGAATGGGGGAGAGGGACTGGGAGGGGAGGATGTGGTGGAGGGAGGCCTCAGCTGGGATGTAAAATAAATAGATGAATTTTTAAAAATTTAAAAATAATAATAAAATAAAATAAAAAAATAAAAATAAAAGTAGATTGATTTGAATTTTTAAAAAAGGCAGTCTGAGTTGCCTTTATCCAAACCAAAATGCTCAAGATTTCAGAGTTTCTTTTTTTTTTCTAGTTTTCCTTTTTTGGGAGGTGATAGTGTCCTCCTGCTCCACTTCCTGGAAAATGAGATTAATAGGTATATGTCACCACATCCTGGTGCTTTAAAAACATTTACACCTGGCGGTAGTGGCGCACGCTTAAATCCCAGCACTTGGGGGGCAGAGGCAGATGGATCTCTGTGAGTTTGAAGCCAGCCTGGTCTCCAGGGTGAGTTCCAGGACACTCAGGACTGTTACATAGAGAAACCCTATCTTGAAAAAACAAACAAGAAACAAACAAAGTTTACATTAAAAAATGAGAAGTCCTGAGAACTAGACCCAAGTCTAAGCAAAAAATTCTATTTATGGCTCATATACCCATTACACAGATTTCCTGAAGGCTGTGATTTTGTACAAGGGTTTAGGTGCCTTGTGTTTTGATGGCAACGTGCCACCTGAAGTTAGGTGTAGAATTTCTACTTGTTATCACACTGACATTCAGAAACTTGCAGATCTGGGATCATTTCAGATTTCCAAATTTTTAGATTCGGAACGTTCCCCCTCCAGCCCCCCCCCCTTGTAACACAGCGATGAGGGGGGTCAGCACAGGGGAGTGTTTCAGTGTGGCACTTCCCTGGTACACAGGGATGCCCTGCAAGTGTGGCCTACAGCATCTTTTCTGAATGGTTGTTCCGTCTTATTCATATCATTTCAACATTCATTTCATAACATATAGTATACAAACTCATATGATACAAATTTTTTTAACTTGCCTGTGAGTTTATTTACTTCCTATAATACATGCCAAATGAAACTGATGTCTGAACACAAAAACTGCAAACCACTAAGGAAACACTCCGAATGCAGCAAGAATGGCTGAGGGGCAGGGCAATGGGGATGCTTGCCTAGCGAGCACAACAGTCTAGGGTCTGTCCCAGGACTGCAACACACAACGCGGAAACAAATTAAAAACAAAAACAAAGCAAGGAGCAAAAAACAAACAACACCAGGGAGCTCCAAATACTGGGTCAGCAATGTTCTACCGTGACAGACCCTTCCTGGCTCCCTGACTTCTGTTGACCAACATTAGAAATCGTACCAGTGGAGTTGCAGATAGATAAGACTGAATGAAAATCCTTTCCCTTTTAACCTGAGTCGGAGACCCCACCCCACTCCCATAATCAGAGTCCATTGAGAAGCCACGCCCACAACCTGAACCTGCAGCTCCAATGAACACACCTTTATCCTCCAGGAAGACAACAGAAACCCTCACTAAATGGGGCTATCTCAAAGCAATGAAAGGAACAAACTTCTGGATAAGAAAAGTTGGTAAATTTACCTAAGGATTAACAGTGAAATGGTCCACCATTCTAGAAGACTGCCTTAAGAAATGTCTTGGCTGGAGAGACGGCTCAGACGGTTAAGATCATTGCTTCTCTTACAGAGGACCCAGTTCAATCCCTAGCACCTACAAGGTGGCTCACAACTGCCTATAATGCCAGTTCCAGGGGATCCAATGGCCTCTTATGGCTTCACAGGCACCAAATACATATGGTGCACAGATATACATGCAAACAAAATACCACATACATAAAATAAAATAAAAATACATTCTTTAATTAAAAGAAATTTTAAAAAGGAATATCTTAGTTTTTGGAAAAGCCTTCTAGTCCATTGTCTAAAATTAACATATATCTCTGAGTAAATTCAGTGTCGAATTTCTTGTTCATAAGAAAATGGATAGGGGCCCAGCGATGGTGGCGCATATCTTTAATTTTAGCACTTGGGAAGCTGAGGTAGGCAGATCTCTGTGAGTTTGAGGCCAGCCTGGTCTACAGAGCAAGTTCTAGGACAGTCAGGGCTACACAAAGAAACCCTATCTTGAAAAAAAAAAAAGAAAGAAAGAAGAAAAGGAAGATGGACAGGAATAACACAGCCATTTAAAAGAACTCTAAACCTCAGTGAAAAGACTTTTTTTTTTAAAAAAAAAAAAAAAGACCCCAGCCGGGCGGTGGTGGCACACGCCTTTAATCCCAGGACTTGGGAGGCAGAGGCAGGCGGATCTCTGTGAGTTCGAGACCAGCCTAGTCTACAAGAGCTAGTTCCAGGACAGGCTCCAAAACCACATAGAAACCCTGCCTCGAAAAACCAAAAAAAAAAAAAAAAAGACCCCATTGCCACCTTTTACAGATGAAACATTGAGTTTGTGGGGGGGAGAAGATGGGTCAGTGGTAGAGCACTTTCCAAGCGTGTCTGAAGCCTTAGGTATCGCCCCAAGTTCTGTAAAAGATAAGTAAGCAAAAGCTGCCCTGGGGTGCTCGGGTTAGCATCCCTTTTATTTATGCATTGTTAAACTTCATAATGATGTTTAAATCATTTTTAAAGGAAATCTTCTTTGTGATAAGAAAGGCTCTATTATTCTCAAATCAAAATCCAAAGACAGCCACCACCGTCCAAGAGTAAGGAGAGATGGCCTCTAGGGCTCTGAACTACTCTGGGCAGAGACTCAGCTCTGCTGGATGGCAGAAGGAAGCCTGAGTCTCCGCAGCCTCACTGGGGCCAAGAGCTCCAGGGACACGTGGAGCCAAAGGCTCCCAGGCCTCCTAGAAGCCACCACATCCTAACTGTAGTATTCACACTCTGCCTGCAGACAAAACTGTCCCTATAAAATACAGATGATAAACCGTGCCAGGCGGTGGCCGGGAGAATTACATGAAAATAGGGTGAACATTGCATGGGGCGGCCATGGGCCCCTTAATCAAGCTAATTACAAGATATAAACACCAGGGTCTGGGCTACTCTTAAATAACTGCTCTCCTCACCCCAAACCACATCTCCAAGCCTCTGGAGCCCCATCCTGAATCCTGAGTGAAGTGGGATGGGGGAACAGCTTGGCCTCTAAGCCACACGTAATGACAGGGGTAGATCAGATTTCGAGGATGTCAGCTCTCTGCTCTGGCCTCTCACGCCTCCTCCTCACCAAGATGTGCTGCGCAGTTACCCTGGGGGTGAGAGTGGGGGAGGCACAGATAAATGCTCTCTCCACCCCAAGGAGCCAGGAAAGCATGACAAATGTCTAGAAAGCTGTTTGCCCACCTCCTCCTACCCACCCAGGGGAGAAAACATCCCTAGGATTCCTGAGACAACTTCATCCAAAGTGAGACTCAGTGTCCACTCCAATTAACTGAATCTAGAAGCTTAATAGCAACAACTTGCTGGGAACATCGAGATGAAGGCGTCTTGTAACTCTAGGTATCTGTAATCCCAGCATGCAGGAGGTGAGGCAGAGGCAGGATAACACCATAGCATCTGAACAGATGGGGCCCCCACACAGGAAGGTTTGTAAATGCACTTTATTATTCTTTGGCTAGGGATTGAACCCAGTTCCTTCATAAATGTCTGGCACACACTTCAGCCCTGAAATATACAGCTACTCCCTCACTTTTAAATGGAGGAGTTAAACTTCTAGAAGGCAGGTATATGTGAAATCACCTGGGATGGTTTTTTAAGCTGACACATAATCCTATATCTTGGGGTACAGCAAGACCATTCAAGACATATATACAATTATAATGATCAGATCAAGATGTCTATTTGTGGCAGTTTGAATGGCAATGTCGGCAATAGACTCATAAGTTTGAATGCTCCGTCCCCAGTTGGTGCAACTCTCGGGGAAGATTCAACCAGATTGGCCTGGTTGGAGGTGTGTCACTGGGGGGGTGGGGGGCTTCGAAGTCTCAAAAGCCCACACTAGTTGCAGTGGTCTCTCTATGCCTCCACTTTCAGATCAAGATTTTGTGAGCTCTCCGTTGTTCCTGTTGCCAAGCCGTTGATCCTCCATCATGACTCTCTACCCCTCTGAAACCAGAATCCAATCAAATGCTTCCTTTTCTTAGTTGCCTTGGTCACTTGTCACAGTGACTGAAAAGTAAGCCATTGCCATATCTGTCCCTTTGGACATTTTTCATTCCCCTGTGATGCAAACATTCAAAATTCTCCCTACCCGTTATTTTGAAATATACAACTAGTTTCCATACTTGCCCTAATAGACTAGAGAGCTTGTTGAAGAACTTCTTTCTTTCTTTTTCTTCCTTCCTTCGTTTCATAGGTCTCACTGTATCACCCAAGCTGACTTATTAGGGGTGATTTTTTTTAAATTACATTTATTGTGTCTGTTTGTCTGTCTGTGTGTCCATGTGTATACAGTCATAGTGTGTGTGTTATGGCCAGAGAACGACTTTCAGGAGTAGCAGGAGTTGCTTTTCTCATCCTTCCATGTTGGTCCCAGAGATTCAACTCAAATTGTCAGGA